GGGGGGGGAGGTGTCTGTCTGGCTACATCCTTAGGTTAGAAAATTGGGGCAACTGAGTCTGTCCCTCTCCTCCCCACACCTCATTTCTGTCTTCTCCTGTTTCCAGGCATTATTTTCGCCAATGGGGAGCAGTGGAAGCAGCTTCGCAGATTTGTCCTCACAACCCTGAGAAATTTTGGGATGGGGAAGAAGAGCATTGAGATGCGAATCCAAGAGGAAGCCCGTTTTCTGGTGGAAAGGCTCAGAAACACGCATGGTGGGGATGTGCTGAGTCAGCTAAAGACTTTTGTTTTTCTCTGTTGGGAATATTAACTTTGGTTCAGCCATCTTGTAACTCCAGCCATTAGTGGTACATATGTCACCACGGGCTTTTCCTGTCCTCTCAGACCCTCCGTCCATCAGGGGCCTTTTCTCTCCGCCCAAAACTCCCCAGCTGCCAGGGGGCTTTTATTCTCTCCCCCACCCCATGAATATTAGAGACCACCCTCTTGTCCTGGGGCCACAAGATCCAGAACTTCCCAGTAGCTGTGAGGCTGAAGGTGAATATACTGAATTAACAACTGGACTCTGGTTTTCTTTTGCTCCAGGGCAGCCCTTTGACCCTACCATCTGCTTCACGCACGCCGTCTCCAACGTCATCTCCTCCATTGTCTTTGGGGATCGGTTTGACTATGAAGATCAGAAATTTCTGACTTTAATTAATCTCCTAGAGGAAAATAATGACCTCGTGGGCTCTGTTCTGGTACAGGTGTGTTCAGGAGTTTCTTCCACTCTTCTCCTTTGTAACCAGGGAAAGGAGAAAATTTTTTTTCTTTTACTGTTCATTTCCCTTAAATGATTGTTATCTCCATTTCCCATAATGTTCCTGTTCTGGATCGGCTGCCTACCAAACCCAGCCTCAAACTTGTTTCTTGGGATTATTTAAATTCCTACAAAAACAATTCATTGGCTCTGAATTACGTTTGTTCAAGGACGCCCCATTGTAACACAATTGGTAAAAATCTAGGAACTTGTCAATTAAAACAAGAGCATCCAGACTATTACAGTTCATTTAGATTTACAGTGGGCTATCTTTTTATGCTCATATTACCCACCTGAAAATCAAACTCCCTTTCGTTTCCAAGACACAACTACCCAGCACATATATTGCAGAAAACCTCACAAAAGCACGACCATATGTAAATGATCTGCTGGCACAACTCAGTTAAAATCACTGGTCATCAAGTCCAGCCCCCTACCCAAGCATGGGATGTCTTTGTGTTGGAAGTAACAGAGTTTAGTTGAATGGCTAAATCTAAACAAGGCGGCAGTTTATTGGAGGAGATACATGTGTATGGAATAGAATGAGTCAGTGATGATTGCAAAGTTCTTCAGGCTACTTTTGGCCAGGAAGGTAGCACAGAACTATTTTATTGTGGTTCTGTCATTGAGTCGGTTGGGTAAACACAGTGATTATTTGTTGTGTCCAGATCAGTCAAGAGGTGTTTTTCCTTTCGTCATTATAGATGCACAATTTTTTCCCAACTTTCATGTCTTACATTCCGGGCCCTCACAAGAAGATGATTAACAGTTCTCAGGAGCTCATTAGTTTTGTTCGAGAGAGAATTAAGATGCACAAGGAGTCTCTGGATCCCAGCTGCCCTCGGGACTTCATCGATGCATTCCTCATCAAAATGGAAGAGGTATGTGAGGGCAGCAATTGTGGGATGGACTCTGCCTATCCTGGATATTTCTCTCTCTGAAAGAAGACCTGCTTTGTGAACCTGGGATGTATGTTCTAATAGCCAGTGGGTAAGACAGGCCAATACCTTGATCCATAACTGACACCAATTCTTCCCTGTCTCATCGATCAGACGCTCCTTCTTTGTGATGTCACAAAGCCCTCGCAGCTGTTGGGTATGAATCCTAGAACTGGAAGGGACCTTGGGAGGTCATCGAGTCCAGTCTCCTGCCTCCTTGCCCCACGGCAGGACCAAGCAGTATCTAGATCGCTGTGGCCAACCTGTTACAGGCAAAGAGCCAAAATATTTGTGCATATAGTGCGAAGAGCCGGTCGGGTGGGGGGGGGAGGAAAGTTGTAGAACCAAAAAAAAAAAAAGTTGGGGACTGCCCCGAGCCCCGATGCATTTGGTTGTTGGGAAAAAGGGGGCTGACCCTTTAAGAAATGCAGTTACAGACTTTTTTTGGCCACATCAGGCTCCTGCTGGCCATCACCATCTTGAAAAATCCATTTTGAATGGCCACACGAGATGGCTCCCGTGTCCTGATGAGCACAGGTAACTGGGGGCCATTTTCAGGGATGCAGGGGTGGCTTCATGAGCCACACTTTGAGGGGGGAAAGAGCTGCATGCAGATTGGCCATGGAATGGAGATTCCACCATCCCCCTAGGATATCCAAAGCACTTGGCCATGTGTAGACTGGCTCTGTATGGAATATAGCCATTGAAAGGATTTTTAGTAAGTGAGTGGACAGAGGCGCTTTTACTGCTGTGTTAGCATCCGTGGGATTAGCACAAGAAAGCAGTTTCAAATGGCAGCCTTTGGCCGCACCTACAAACCTAACCTACTACCAACTTATTTAGAAACACGTTCTGCGAATCCCCTGCAGTACTTTGCAACAGCAGCCTCTTGGGCGTTCCATCAGGGCATCCCTGGGTCAGCAGGTAGCCAGGCATTTGCATTTTCAGTGGGGATTTTGCTTCCTTTGGTGCATTTGGTCCTGCCATGAGAGCATGGGACCTCTCGAGGTCCCTTCCAGTCCTAGTATTCTATGACTCTATCAAACACACTCTATTGGGCTCTCAGGATAAAAATGACTTAGAAATATTTCATTTCCTCTCTAGTTCAAGGTTTTCCAGCCATTCGTGCTTCTAAGGTGAACAAAATAGGAAAGCAAAGGAAAGCAGCCAGAAGTGTAATGTGAACAGTTAGAAATACAGATGGAAACTAACTTGAAATGCTCCAGAAGTCTCAGAGGGGTGGCCATGTTAGTCTGTAACGGGGAAAGGGTAAAAAACAAGGAGCACCTTAGAGACTAACAAAACACGTGGACGGTATCACGAGCTTTCGCGGGCACAGCTCAGTTCTTAGGATGAACCAGTTCTCCTCTCTTACAAAGACCACAGATTTCCCTTGCAATGTGGCCCCAAAATCTGTGCTCACAGTGCTACTGCAATCGTCAGGGCTGGGGCCTGGTTTTGGTGAAGGATTTTCATTAAGACACCAGATGGGTCACAGAGCAGGGAGAAGATGAGGGGTTGGGCCTGTGTGACAGACCCGCCCCCGATGATCAAACAACTCTAACAAAACTCTCTGTAGGAACGACAGAATGGCCAGTCGGTTTTTAACACTGATAACTTGGTAAGAAGCACAATAGATTTATTCCTGGCTGGAACAGGAACCACCAGCACCACCCTGAGACACGGATTGCTGCTGCTTCTGAAATACCCAGACGTAGAAGGTACCACCCAGAGAGACGCACACCATTTTTAGATTTGGGGAAATGAGGGGATTGCAGGTCTCCAGGGATGTCAGACCCCTGGCCCTCTAGACACCAGATCAAATCTAGCTTCGGCTGCAGGTGGTGCATCTCACCACGGTGTAGGCTGGTCAGTGGATGACCAGCCCAGTGCTAATTCTTACCTCACGAGCTGCCTCCGAGGATCATTGTTTTCACTGGGGTGGAATCTTATGTCTCAATCCTTTGCTTAGCAGCTTATGTGGACTAGCGATACCATGACACTGTGCTCTGTGCTATAGTATCACCGTGCTATAGGTACATTGTTGGTCCTTTCTCCTAGATACCATGTACAGTAGCTTCTGGGAAATCCAAAACAGTTTTGCGGGTCTCAGCACCGGGTCTTCAGACTGAAGCGGGCCACCATGACTGGATTCCTTGTTACCTCCCAGTCCCTGTTGAGGCTCACAGGCCAGGGAAAGTTGTATATGTGTGTGTCTGCACTGCCGCTGGCCAGATGGTGCCTGGTTTGTGGGTAACAGGTATCCCAGGGCTCTCCGGTGAACACCATCCTCTCTCACAAAGGCAAAGATGTTTCATGTTCAGATGTAATCCGTGCTAGAGATGTATTAAAACCCAGCTAGCCCCAGTGCTAATTCTTACCTCACGGGCTGCCTCCGAGCTCATGTGGATGATTGTTTTTGCTGGGGTGAAATCTTAGGCCTCAATCCTTTGCTTAGCAGTTTATGTGGACTAGCGATACCATGACACTGTGCTCTGCGCATAACGAGGCATGGGCAGTATCACCGTGCCATAGGTACATTGTTGGTCCTTTCTCCTAGATACCATGTACAGTAGTTTCTGGGTAATCCAAAACAGTTTTGCGATAGTCCCAATATTAGACCTGTGTATTTCTGGCAGTGTGGCAGAAAGTATGAAAATCCTGGTCTTTAGCTTTATAGTCAACATCATTCGTTTGGATACAGAGAAAGTTCACGAAGAGATTGACCGTGTGATTGGCCGAAACCGAAGTCCATGCACGGTGGACCGAAGCCAGATGCCCTACACAGATGCCGTGATCCATGAGATCCAGAGATTTGTTAACCTGGTCCCCTTCAGTATCCCACACGCAGTGACCAAAGACGTTCGCTTCAGAGAATATGTCATCCCCAAGGTTTGTACTAACGTTTCTCTGAAAAATCCAGATTTTCTATCCTTTCCCTTTTAAAGTATTCACAGTAGAAATGTTTGGAATGTGGCAGGTGTTTTTTTCACAATTACCAACAATTTTTCAGTTTTGACTGGCATGAAGAACCCTGTGTTCTGCAGGCTCAACTGCCCTTCCTGAAGAAAGGTTTAGAACCATGTTGACCTTTTTAGATATGGAATTGACGTCAGGGAGAGTGTCAGGTAGTCCTCTTCTAGGAGGTCAGTTTCTGGAATGGTTCCATCCTCACCAAGCTTTAGACATACTGAGGTGTTAATATGCCCCACAACTCAGGGCCTAGCTTGCCAATTGAGTTTCAGTTTGAGCAGTATAGGGCATTTTCAGCATTATTATGTTGCTGTTAGTTATGAGGAAATGATTGGTTTGATGAGTAAATTATAAAGACAAGGGAAACGCAAATGTTTCCGACAATGGGAGGAAAGATGTATCAAATATTTCCGAAACAAAATACAGGACTATGTAGCACTTTAAAGACTAACAAGATGGTTTATTAGATGATGAGCTTTCATGGGCCAGGTCCACTTCATCAGATCAAATATTTCCGACTTTCCAATGAGATTCCAGGGTCTCATTGTTCCAGGTGGGCTGCGGTTTGGTGGGGTTACCTTTTCTCATGGGATCGGAGTGTTTCTACTTCTGGCTGAAGGCATGAACTTCCAGGGGATGCAAAAGGGCATGAAGGAAAGAAAAATGTGTCTTCCTGGCCAGCTCAGTGAATTCTGGAGACTTTTCACTGTGGACTCCGGCCACTTACACTTTCTTTATCTGTGCTTACTAAACCAGGGCACTACAGTATTCCCATCTCTGGAATCAGTCCTACGTGACAGCAAGGAATTCCCAAACCCAGAGCAATTTAACCCAGGACATTTTTTGGATGAAAATGGTGCTTTTAAGAAGAGTGACTTCTTCATGCCTTTTTCTGCAGGTAAAATATTTATTTCAGTTTCCAGACCATTCTTTCTTAGCTTTGTCTTGAGTATACAAAGAGTCCTCAAATTGTAGTTTGCAGAACATTTTCGGGCTATCCCTTAGGCATAGCCTCTTCCCACAGCGTTACTCTCTCCTCTGCCTGGCCTCGTCATGTTATCCTTTGTCGGTGTCAGCTTGCTGTGGACAAATTGTGATGGAATGCGCACGCAAGAGTAAAAACGAAGGGATTACCATGCAACAGGGCAGAAGCTGGTAGAAATTATTAGGGGCTGCTTAGCATCTCTCTCACGCTGTTAAAAAGCTTGGTATGATGGCTGCCTTTCTCCTATTATTCAGCATGCCTGTTCATCCCTTCTTGTTATTTCTGCCTTCCACTTAAGAACCTACATGGAGGGGCTTGGGCAGGGGGCTGCACTTGATGGTCTTCTGAGCTTTCTTCGAGATCTATGGTTCTATGATTCTTACCATTTCCATAAATGTATTAGCTGGCTTACAACCTGCATTCCTCAAACCCCATATCTTCCCACCTTTCTCCACATACTGGTATTCAAAGGGCTACTTACAAGGAACTCAGCCTTTAAAATGGTCTATTAGTGACTTCTGAAGACCCCAAATATTTTCACAGCTTCCTGAACTCTAAGAGATGGCCATTATCTTTCATGTAGTTACCATGGAAAACGAGTGGTCTTGTAGCACCTTGGAGACTAACAAATATAGACATACTATCATGAGCTTTTGTGGGCAAAACCCACCGTGAGTCACTCTGTGCATCACACATCCTTTGTAACAGTATTTAAAGTAGGTTGCAAAGAAAGATCTTCTGCATCTCTTCAAAATTCCTTTTTCCTTGCAGGGAAACGAATATGCGCGGGAGAGGGACTGGCTCGGATGGAGCTCTTTTTGGTCCTGACAGTGATTTTGCAGAATTTTACCTTGAAACCTCTCATTGACCCCAAAGACATTGATATAACTTCAATACCAAGTTTTTTGTTACTTGTACCAAAACCATACCGGCTCTGTGTTTTGCCTCGATAGAGACCATGAAAAGCCACCTTAGTGTCCTAGACCAGTGCATGAATTTGATTGTCTATGATTTTGGTCTCATTAGTGCAGTGACACAAATGAACTCCTTGTCTTAAACCAGTGAGATAAATAACTTGTTTTTTAAGCAACTGTGATTTAACAAAATTAAGTGCAATACCCAAAAATAACTACCTGCTTGACTCCGAAGGCATGTACAATAACCCAGCAGTGTTCTCAGACGGGCTCAGACTCTGCTCTTGACTTAAGCTGGATATGTTTTCTGTTCAATTGTGATTCAGTTGGCAATGACGGAGACTTCTTTTGACAGTCACGAAAGCTGCTTTCTTTTACAAGGAGGCTGGTAATGGTGTCCAGCTCTTGAGCTCTGATCAGCCAATCAGAGCTAACTGTGACGATGTAATGCCTGTGATTGGACGTTCTGCTGCGATGTGACACGTTTCTGAATTAGTGGGCTGACCTAGCATTCTCCTTCCCTTGTTGTTCATGTAATTTCAACGATGGTCTATTAAACTATTAACAATGACCTATTAAACTTTCACTTAATAAAAAGTGGCCCTGGGAACTCTGCTGCAGCCCTTCAAGCCCTTTTTCGACCGCTGACAACCTCATTTTACGAGGAAGGAAGAATGCCTTTTTTTGAAAGTGCTCTTTTGAAAAAAGGTGCTATGTAATGCAAACTGTGCTTTTTCAAAAGAGAGTATCCAGACTGCCTTAGTATTCTTTGAGGAAGTTAATAAACATGTGGACAAGGGAGATCCACTGGATATAGTGTACCTAGATTTCCAGAAATCCTTTGCCAAGGTCCCTCACAAAAGTCTGGCTTTTTTGGCAGATCCTGTACTCCTCATTTTTTGACAGGAAGACAGGAAACAAAGGGTAGGAATCAATTATAAGTTTTCAGAATGGAGAGAAGTAACTAGTAGTGCCCCACAATTCAATCGTGGTTTAAATGTTCTGGAGAAAGGATTAAACAGTGAGGTGTCAAACTTTGGAGATGATACTAAACTGTGCAGTGTTCAGCAGCAGTCAAAAAAGTGAATAGAATGCTAGGAATCATCAGAAAAGGGCTAGAGAACAAGACAGAGAACGTAAATCCATGGTACACCCACATCTTCAATACTGCATACAGCTGTGGATGCCTCATCTAAAAAAAGATAGATTGGCATTGGAAAAGGTTAAAAAAAGTAACAATAATGATGAGGGATTTGGTAAGGGCCCCATATGAAGAGAGATTAAAAGAGACTGGGACATTTCATCTTGGAAAAGAGGAGACTAAGGGGGGATATGGTAGAGGTTTACAAACAAAAGGAAGTTTTTCTTCACGCAGCGCTCAGTCAACCTGTGGAACTCCTTGCCAGAGGATGTTGTGAATACCAGGACTTGAATAGAGTTCAAAAAAGGACTAGATAAATTAAAGCAGGTTAGGACTAGATAAATTCATGGCTATTAGCTAGAATGGGTAGGAATGGTGTCCCTAGCCTCTGTTTGTCAGAGGCTGGAAATGGATGACAGGAGAGGGAATCAGGTGATGATTACCTGTTGTGTTCACTCCCTCTGGGGTACCTGGCATAGACAGGATACTGGGCTAGATGGACCTTTGTTCTGACCCAGTGTGGCCATTCTTATGTTCTTATGCAAAGCTAAGTTGTAAGCAAGAGGCAGGCCCTGCTCACAGAAACTGGGAGGAACAGGGCTGATGACAGCAGTGAGGGAGGGGTTGGGCTCCCCAGCCCTGCTTTGGCTTCCCACTTAGCCAGGGACAGGACCTCTGGGAGAACAAGATGGCCTTTGATGATGAGGGACACTGGGGGCTTCTCCCCCACTCCTTTCTGAGAATGCGCTGGCTTCACTGATGTAAGCCAGAGGTGAAAGGTCAGGGCGGGATGTGGGACTCTTGGATAACCAAAAAATGAGGTTTACGTGGCTTTTCAAAAAAGGGGGGGTTCCCAAAAAAACCGTGTCCCAACTACTTTTGAAAGTGAGAACGGAAATTCCCATGGAATTTGCATATCCTCTTTCGAAACTTCAGTGTAGTCTAGACGAGCCCTAAGTGTGATTTGAGGTAGTGAGAGTGAGCTTCCTCCTCCCCCACCTTCCAGAGCAGGTTAAAGCAACTAAAGTCATTTGTGCTCGTTACCTCGTGGTCCCAATCCTTGTTAGGCCAAGGTTAGTTGCACGCTTGCAACATTGATCATCTATCCATGGCTTAAATCCTGGAGAGCAACATGAAAAGGGATTATCATTACGCACACGAATCATGTTCTAGCTGGCGCCACACCTCTGGGACATATTCAACCGCATGGGCAGAGAGAGAGCGAGTCATTTCACCATAGTTTGGGCAATTTTACAGTGATTCTGTATAGGATTAGTTGCCATGCTCTAACAATGAGAACACAATGAGAAGTGGAGATGTGAAATTAGTAAGAGTTCAAAGGACTTCATTTGCAGTGTTCTAACACTGTTTATCTCCTTAACACAGCAGAACTGAGAGCTCCTATTGGTGAATTGCTTGCACCCACTTTTGCGCTATAAAGTATTAAAAGGGAGACGTCTGAAATACAAAGTAATCCATGTTAGCCCCCAGAGCCATTGCTACACCTGACAAAGGAACCGCTGGGAGCAACCACTGTTTTCCTGGTCATTTGTGTCTCTTGCTTCCTCTTCCTCTCCGTGTGGAGAAAGACGCCTGGAAGTGGGAAGCTGCCGCCTGATCCTGTTGCTTTTCCCTGTTGTAAGGGGATGTGGATTGAAACGGCTTTAAACACTAAGGAGCGGGGATCACCACATGGGAGTGTAAAGGGTTTGTTTATTCGGTTAAAACTGGGGAAGGAGGGAGGAGAATCTCACTCATACACTCAAAGACACTCACAGTACCAGGCAGGATGACAAGACGAGCAGAAGGCAGTTCATGTTGTTAGTTGACTCCTAAGCTGATCTGCTGGCCAGGCGATCCGAGCAGGGGGCGTTCTGGGAGGCTCTGCTTGATGGTCAACCCCCCGTGTCTCCTTTAAGGATCAGTCACATGCAGCTTCTGAGTCTCTGGCTTCTTGGGGCCGTGTGCACGCCCTGCGGGGGGGCCGTGTGCACTGTTGTTTACTCCTGCTGTTTACCTCAGAGTTTTCCCGCCTCTGGTGTCCACCTCAGTCATTCTTCTGCTCACTCAGGGAAGGGAGGGGGGTTAACAGATAACACTTCAACAGGTTAGGGAGGCAAATAACATCAACAACAGAAAGAGAACAACATCCATTTTAGCTCTCCCCTTGCTCCTCCTCTGCCTCCAACATTCCCCTCGTTGGGAACATGCTGCAGCTGAGCGAGAAGAGCTTGCCCCAGCATGTAGAGGAGGTAAGGGTGTTCTCTTGGTATCCGTTGCTGGGTTGGTAGCAGGCATTTAGTTCAGCCTTGCTCAAACCCAGCCTGGTGGGAGACTAATGGGGGATATGATGGAGGTGACAAGAACAGGAGTGCTAACCAGCACGCAGTGATTAAGGGGTTAACTCAGGTACCTAGCAAAGGTGTTTTAGTCGGTGGGGATATGGGGGTTAGGGCAAACAGCCAATAAAAATGGAGATCAGAATTTCAAACTGGGTGAGAGGGAATTTTCTCTCTCTCTTTTTTGAGATCAGACCAGTTTCTCCCGGGTATTGAGGGTGATGGGAGATGCGTTCTCTCTCCAAGAACGGACTTGAAATATGTAAGTAGGGAAAAGTTTAGCAAGTCCATCAGGGTTTATTGTTTTCCTGGTGAGGAGGTTTGGAGATCATGTCTGAGCTGGCTAATTGTTTTTCTCTTTTTTAACTAAGGATTACAGGGATTTTCCCTGAGTTTATGACATTTGTGGCTGTTTACCACCTAGCCAATTTACTGTGCTTGCAACAGTAGGTTTCTTATGGTGTCAAAACGGTGATTGGGGAGATAGGCTCGAACTATTGTGGAGTCTATACGAGCCCCTATGAGCTCCAAAGATTGTGTGGGGCGTAATATGGATTTCTGCTTCTTGATAATGAAGCTCAGCAACTGAAGCAGAAGCGTGGTCTATGTGAATGTGATCATGTCTTTAATGGGCCATTGTGAGGAACCTCAGATAAGACAATCGTCTAGATAAGGGAATATTGTGATCCCATTGCGTCTTAGTTATACTGTGGCCACTGCAAGGGTCTTGGAAAAGACTCTGGGGGCAGAGGAGAGTCCGAATGTAAGGACTCTGGTCTGAGGCTGCCGTGAATTGAAGGAAGCGCTTGTGTGGGGGGGTGTATTGTGATGTGAAAATATGCATCTTGAAGGTCGAGGGGTGCGAACCAGTCCCCCCTCCCCAATGCTGGAATTATTGTGGTGAGCCTGACCAAGCATTGCCTGCAAAGATATTTTTTATTTAAGTGGCTTAGGTCCAAGATAGTTCTCCAACCTCCTATTCTCTTTTTGGTGAGAAAGTAGTGAGAAGAAAACGCCCTCCATTTGTATTTTTCGGAGACCTGCTCTATGGCTCCTATTTTGAGAAGGTGTAAAACCTCCTGGTGGAGCAGAGTCTCATGAGAGGGGTCCCGGAAGAGGGTGGGGAGATTGGAGGAATTGCTGTGAAAGGGATAGAATAACCACGGCTGACAATTTCCAGGACCCACCGGCCTGTGGTGATTGCTGCCTATTGATTGTAGAAGGGGTGCAATAAAGGAAGGGATAAAGACAAAAGTCTCTCACCAAGCTGGAATTTTTTGTTGTCAAATCTGGGTGATTTTCCTAATCAGTCACATTGCAGAGCAAACACTCTGAGGCTGTGTCTAGACTGCATCCCTTTTTCGTAAAAGGGATGCAAATTAGATCTATCGCCATTGCAAATGAAGTGGGGATTTAAATCTCCCCCGCTTCATTAGCATAAAAATGGCTGCCGCTTTTTTCTGGCTCGGAGCTTTGCCGGAAAAAAGCGCCAGTCTAGACGCGGATCTTTCGGAAAATAAAGCCTTTTCCGAAAGATCCCTTATCCCTCATTTTAAGAGCCATTCCTCATTTTAAGAGGGATAAGGGATCTTTCGGAAAAGGCAAAGCTCCGAGCCGGAAAAAAGCTGCAGCCATTTTTATGCTAATGAAGCGGGGGAGATTTAAATCCCTGCTTCATTTGCAATTGCGATAGGTCTAATTTGCATCCCTTTTACAAAAAAGGGATGCAGTCTAGACACAGCCTGACTGTTTTATAACCAAAAGGTAGGTTTTGGTGGCAAAATGTGCCATAGTAAACAAACTCAGAGAAGCAAGGAGAGCAGGAGACCCAGGTTAGAGAAAAAGATGAGCTTTGACTTGAAACAAGAGCAAGTATGGGTGAGTTTGCAGTACGCTATCATGCATTAGAACTAGTGATATGTGTGTTTTTCTCATTTTAATTCTGTAGCTTACTTGGATCTGTCTGTTTTCACTTGCAAGCACTTACATCCTACTGTTTGTACTCAATCAAGTCACTTTTATTTACTATCTAGCTCAGTATAAAGTTCTAGCTCATTTGCAAAGTTCCAGGAACGTGGCCTTGTCCACAAAGAATTTCTGTAGCCTCCATTTATCGTCCCATGTCTGCAATGCATAGCGGTCCCAGCAGTGTGAGCTCGTCTCACGGCACTCGGGCTGGTGTTGCACTGTGTCCAGAGGATTGACTGGCTCTGGTGCTAGCATCAGCACCAGGCCTTGCATGAGCAGGGCCTCCATGCCATGCCTAGCTTGGTGCCAGTCCTCTTCCTGGAAGAGGGACTGGCGTACGCTCTCCAAGCACTGCAGCATTGGGCACCCTACAGCACACTTCACCATCACAATGGCTGCTGCAAACCGGGATCTGGGCTTGTATTGCTATGACGTCTGTAAAGACAAGGAGGGCATCTAAAGGCATGAGCACACTGCCTCCCCTTTATCTCACTTGGGCGGGGGGAGGAGGAAGAAGAGACTAGATGAGTGTATTACAGGATGCTGACGACATGAGCCCATAACCACCCGCTACACAGTTTTGGTCACAGCGGGCACTATGAGCAAAGCCCAGAAGGCAAAGCTACCCATGGTGCATTGCTCTGAGTCGATCGTAGGCTCCTGACATGGGATGCGCAACTTGGACTACATTTGTTTTATCTCTGTGTGAGGACATGGACTTTTGACTTCATAAAATCAGGTAGTAAGAAATCAACCATATTAGATTCGACCTTAACTTGTAGTGTAGACGCACCCTCAGAGTCTTAATGTTTCACTTAGAAACCAAGTGTTGTACAACTTTGGCATCAAGGAAGGTGGATCACAACAGATTTTAAAGATTAGCCAGACTTTGTGAAACCTCTAGAAAGAATCCAGATTCGGTTTCAAGTTGTATCAAATGTTCAAGTTTTTCTCAAGTGTCAGCTGATCATTTCTCCACAGGCTAAATCTTGGAGAACAACATGAAAAGGAATCCTCATTCTACATATATCGTGTTCCAGCTGGCACCATGCCCCTGACAAATGTTTAACCACATAGGTGGAGAGAGCAGGTAATTTCACAATCGTTTGGGCAACTTTACAGGATTCTGTATAGGATTAAACATCATGCTCCATCAATCAATACACAAGGGGAAGGCGAGTTGAGATATTATTACAGGTTCAAAGGATTTCATTCCCAGAATCACACTGATCAGTTACGTTTGTCAGTCCAGAGCTTATCTCGTTACCACAGTAGAACTTTTAGCTCCTATTGGTTAATTGCTTGCATCCACGTTGTCTGTGTAGAATATAAAAAGGGAGACAACTGAAATATAAATAATTCCTGTTAACCCCATGAGCCATTCCTACACCCGACAATGGACCCGCTGGGAGCAACCACTCTGTTCCTGGTCATTTGTGTCTCTTGCCTTCTCTTCCTCTCCACGTGGAGAAAGACGCCTGGAAGTGAGAAGCTGCCGCCCGGGCCTGTTGCTTTCCCCCTTGTTGGGAACATGCTGCAGCTGAGAGAGAAGAGCTTGCCCCTGCATATAGAAGAGGTAAGGGTGTTCTCTTGGTATCCGTTGCTGGGTTGGTAGCAGGCATTTAGCTCACCTTAGCTCAAACCCAGCCTGGTGGCAGTGCCATGTCGGCTCAAATGCCCAACTTACTGCTGCATAAAACAATCAGTTGTGGATTGCAGATGTAAATGATTTGCTTGTGTGACAGGTTAGTGTTTTATTCAGAGGTAACCCAGCGTGCCTCCACAGCTGCACTGCCCTGAGCGCAAGCTGTCGTGGGCTGGGCTCAGAGGTCTAGTGTGTTATATAAGGAACTGGCATTCGTGGGCCTTCAGGTCTCTGTCTACCTCTGCCACAGATTCTAGGTGTGCCCTTGGGTGTATCATGTATCCTCTCTCTGCCTTCATTTCCCATCTGTAAATTTGCTCTATTGGCATTTGCCTATGTCACAAAATGAACGTTAGGCAGAGACTGTAGCTCAGCATAGAACCAACTTACATGACTGAATAAATGCTGGCAGCATTTCTGTGAAGTTTGAAGGGGCATTTTTACGTAATGCTCGAAATCTCTATTAAAACCCCCCATATTAATGCAGGTGCTTGTTATAATTGTAACAGAATTATGCTGGGAACAAACAGACAGACACACACATCAATAGGGAAACATGTTTAAAATACACGAGTTTAACAACATGATGCGCTGAAACGTCAGGCAGTCCCAGACCTCGAAGGCATGTAGGTGCCTAACTCTCAAGGAAATCAGTGAAGTGAAGCTCCTAAATACCTTGGAGGATCGTGGCTGAAATGGCCATGTCTGGGCAGTGATCAGTGGTCAGAATTGGCCAGTATTAGCTGAGTGGCAGGAAAGGGCTTGTGTCATTTGATCTACTCCCCCACTTCCCCCATTCTTCCCCTTTAAGAAGTGGGTCTTAATTAACACACATTGGCCTTTTTGTTCAACTCTTACAGCTCAGTAGAACATACGGCCCGATGTTCACGATCTACTTGGGCTCCGAGCGGGTTGTTGTGCTGCATGGATATGAGGTTGTGAAGGAAGCTCTGATCAATCTCGGGGAAGAGTTCAGTGGAAGAGGAAGAATGCCGCTATTTGAGACAGCTACCAAGGGATCAGGTACGTTTGAAATAACGTCTGCGCACAGAATTGATATGGTTTATATGGCAAGAAAACAGCTAAGAAAAGAGAAGGGAAAGTGCCAGAGTTTTGTTAATAAGTAATGAAAATCAGAGAGCACAGTCACAGTGACAATGAATTTGAAGTCAAATCTTTGGCTTGTTTGGGTGTTTTTTGAAACCGGCCTCAACATCTGGCCTCCTTCCCACATACCTGTTTTCTACCCATCTCCAGGTATCGCTTTCGCCAATGGGGAGCAGTGGAAACAGCTCCGGCGATTTGCCGTCACGACTCTGAGAGATTTTGGGATGGGGAAGAAAAGCATTGAGGAGCGGATCCAGGAGGAAACCCGTTTTATGGTGGAAAGACTCAGAAACACACACGGTGGGGATTGTTTCTTGTCCACTGAACACTGAGCAGAAAGACAAGTCTTGACTTTGCTTTTAATGATGTTATTTGTTTGCGTCTAACATCTTATAACAGAAGCCATGAGCTGCCCCGACAGCAGCCTGTAGTGATGTCATGGGAAAGGATGGGTGAAATGTGCCAGAGATGACCCCTTGTGGTTGCTGCTTTGTCACATTTGTCCCCTGTGATGTGACCAAAGCACAAACGCATGATGCTTGTCTAGAGTGTGTAGACACTGACACAGTGAGCTGCATTAGAGAGGGTTAGTTCCAGTGTTCTGGGTTCGCAGCCACCTATTCCTATGGTTTGCTAATTCTCATTTTCTTCCCAGCTCCACATCTGATGCACATTAGGCACCAATTTTCTAGAGTGAAGGGCCCCGTGGGAATGTTTGAAACCCCCGTGGAAATACACTGGGCTTCATAAAGGACTCTCATTCCCTTGTTTCTCATTCCGCTCCATGGCATGCGGAGCACGGGGACTTCCCCAGAGCCTTCCTCCTTTGCCAGCCTCTTACTGCCGGCTCAGCTTCTTCCGCTGCCATTCTCATCACTAGACATTCTGCTCCTCTCTGGCCTTTTCACATCACTGCTGAACTGCTGCCTCGCCTCTGGCCTGGGCTGTTCTCATGCACCTGTCTTGTCTTACTCCACGTCTTTGGTCCAGGCGCGTTCCTGCCATCTCCATTTCCATCCCCGGCCCACCAGTGACTGCTTCCCCTTCCCCTAGGCTGCTTCCCTGGTGACGTTTTCTCTATCCATCTGACACTGAGCACCTGTCTCCGGCAGCTGTCTCCAGGGGGGTCTCCACACATCTCCAGGTGTCAGCAAAGTAGAGTGAGAGCGACTCCACCTGGTGCCAACTGGTAATAGTGGTACCACCACGCTAGTGAGGGCCCAGCCACAGCCACTGGGCAGCCTCCGTTGTGAATGGGTCACAGGGCACCCCAGAAGTCAGGGGGCCTCGTGCGACAGGGGCTTGTGCTATCGTCCCACCGGGAGCCCTTGCGCGCCACCCAGCACACTCCACCTGGCTCTCTGGGGGTGATCTGAAGGTGCTGGACTCCAGCAGATGCTGTACTGCCATCTGAGAGCCCCAACTTCTTCTATTTTGCTGTGCCCTGGGGAACCTTCCTGCTTTGCCCCACCTGCCTGCGTGCCTGATGGATCGGGATCTGTTCTCTGAAATGGACCCTAGATAAGACAGGAGGGTGTCACTCAGACAGAGACTGATAGCCCCTCATCATTGCTGTAAAACTGACTTGTTTTACTTTTGGTTTGCTCCAGGGCAGCCCTTTGACCCCAGCCTCCTCCTCGCCCAGGTCGTCTCCAATGTCATCTGCTCCATCGTCTTCGGGGACCGGTTTGACTATGAAGAGGAGAACTTTGTTACTTTAATTAATCTCATATTGGAAAATGGCAAAGTCCAGCAGGATCCTTGGATAGTGGTATGTTGAGGGATTTGTTGTGTTCATATCGACTGTGCAGAGAGAGGAGGTGGAGATTTCTGACTTTATTAATTTTCCCTAAACATTTTTATATCCGATTCCCCAGAATCGTCCTCATTTTTTCATTGGACTACTGCTACAACCAAACTGACACTCCACCAACTTCTTTCTGAGGGTAGTTTAAATTCCCTTACAAAACACATTCTCATCTCAGAATTCGGTTTGTTGAGTATTTTGTCTATCAATACAAATGGCAAAAATCAGGGAAATCGCCAATAAATACAGTGATACCAACACCGATCATAATTGGCTTTATGAATGTAATTACATTCCTCACCTCCACAGCAAACTTCCTTTCACCTCCATTTCATACCCAGCCCCTACATTCTCTCCTCTTCTCTGAAAGCCTCCCCAAATGCACAGTGAAGGGCCAAACATTCTGCTGATGTAATTCAGACCAAAGAAATGAAGTTACCATACCAGATAATCTGGCCCTGCAACTTCCACTTCAGGAAGTCTACTGCATATTTTCCTTTTAGAGTTTACAATGGTGGACTGCTACCTAAGAGAAACTGTTGTAGGAGCGAAGGCTGGGTGCTTTTGTGGGTTTTTTCTTCAGGAGAAGGACGTTTGATTTGTTGGAAAAAAATGGAGTGTGTCCTAGCTGATGTAACTAAACCTTCGTGTAGCTTTTATGAGGAATTTTAATCTCTGTTGTATAGTCTGACTTGGAGCTTGCAACATTCTGTTGAATAGATTTTGATTAGAAGGCACCCAAGAAGAATTTAATTCTACGGCTGTAGGTGTGTCATCGGGGTGAACACTGTTCTTCTCTGTTGAGTCCAGATAAATGAACCCGTGTTTTTCTTTCAATCTTTATAGCTGTATAGTTTTTTCCCGACCCTCATGGATTATATCCCTGGGCCTCACCAAAGGCTATTTAAAATTTTTGAGGAGATAAGAAGATTTGTTGGGGAGAGAATGAACGTGCATAAAGTGTCTCTGGATCCCAATTGTCCTCGGGACTTCATCGATGCTTTCCTCATCAAAATCCAAGAGGTAAGTGAGGGCAGCAGTTCATCCCCACTACTGTGGTGGGAGCTGCGCATCTCATCGGGTTTAATTTGTTCAATAATGGCATAGAACATGGCCGTAGGAAAACCCGAAGGGGAGAAATGGTTTGTGCCCAAGGAATGTATGTTATAATGCTCTGTTCTCCTCCTTCCTATGAAGTTTAAAAAAAAAATCACCGTTACACCAAAAAGGCCGAAGGCATAGCACCAATTCCACTGTCATGTGAAGTGATCCGGACCGTTTATGTGGGGATCTTAATTATGACAACATTGTTGGGTGGAAGATGACTCTTTTATGGCCTGATAAGAATGTTTCCTACAGCTTTACAGTCAAATCTGAAACATCTTCCACAAATCGTTTTTCAGGAGCAAAAGAATAGCGATTCGGTATTTACAGAAGAAAGTTTGGTAGGAAGCACAATCAACTTATTTGTTGCTGGAACAGAGACATCCAGCACCACTCTATACTTTGGACTCCTGGTTCTCCTCAAATTCCCAGAAATTCAAGGTAACAACACACACGTGCTCTCAAAGTGGCGGACCCAGGGAATGTTTGTGGTATGTTTGGAAGGGAGCAGCTTTAACCATGATTCTAAGAGCTATTTGGGCACATGAGAACTCTGAGATTTTCGTGGAATAACCAACCAACTGGAAAAGAACTTCACAATTGCATTAGCTTAAACATGGAAGACAAAAAAGTGATAATTAGAAGATTGGCCATCATGGTTTTCCTACCATCTCCAAGATGCTGAAGGTGTATTTCCAGTAGATAAAAATGTTACCACAATTTTTCAATGCCAGTTGTGTTTAGTTTTCCTATTAAGGTACTCAGCAATTGGAAATAAAGTCTCGACCATTATAATCTTTTTATACAATACCTTTGATATTTCTCCAGAACAAATGAAAACACACTTCAGTTCAATGTACTAAAGACGTAAAGTTTTTACATATTGAACAAATTTAACAACACAATTTGCCTTTACAGATGACCAGACAAGAAGCTTCCCCCCCCCCCGGAACTATTTTGTTTTACAGTTTAAAAACCACGAGTCCATCTGTACAATGGCCCAATTGGATGATTCTTTATCATGACAATATAATATGACATTATAAGTCTTACAAATTATTTCAAAAATTGCCCTCTAAATACAGTAATTTTCAAGAGCATTCTCAAATATTAAGGAAGTGAGTAAAGAGACCAGTTCTAAGAGTAACAACCTGGCCAAATCACTGAAAACTGGAAATTGGAGGGTTGCGGGGAAATCCCAGGGGTCAACAGACATATTCAAGAAAGAACGCATTATTATTTTGGGGCTGAGAAGCAGTAAAATAACGACCTCAGCTTTCCATCGGGAGCAACTGGAATGTAAAAGGGAATCACTGAAAGAAAGCTGCTGAGCTTTGTGGGGGAGATGTGAGGAATGCATGGAGCAAAAAATGGATACACAGTATGTCCCCTTCAGTCACCAGATCACCTCTGGCCTGGCCTGGCGGTGAGTGACCCATGTTGCCACCACATGGTGGTGGTTCGCTAGTTAAGGGAAGTGAGTAGAAGATCGGTCCGGGGGGTTTCGTGCCCCAGGCCCCTGCAGGCAGGAGTTCTCATCCGAAGAGCCCCATTGCAATGGGCAGTCTTGTGCCTGTATTGACCATCTGAGCAAAGGGCCCAAGGGCTGACTGGGCCATTGGGAGTGAATTCCTCGCTCAGATCCAGACCAGAGTTGATGCTCCCAGGCAGGGGGCAGACCAAAAAGTGGGGGGAGCCTCGGCTGACGCTGACCAGGCTGTGCCTGCTCTGACCGTAACAGGCACCTTCCCACTGCAGGGGGGTGGACTGGCAAAGTCATCGCATGTTCCGAAGTTATCAGCTTGCCAGTGTCAGGATTGTGGAACTCAAAGCTCGGCCAGTACTCGGGACTATGCCCAGTGCAGACGGGGGTGACACAGCGGTGGGCAAATTTGTAGGAATTTATCATTATTTTAAACCTCATTCATTTGGCGACAGAGAAAGTTCACAAAGAGATTGACAGTGTGATTGGCCGAAGACGAAGCCCCAGCATGGCGGATCGAAGCCAGATGCCCTACACAGATGCCGTGGTACATGAAATCCAGAGATTCCTTGTCCTTGCGCCTATAGGTGTCCCGCGTGCTGTGACTAGAGATGTTCATCTCAAGCAGTACGTGATTCCCAAGGTCAGTTCTAAACGTGTGCGTGTGAAAGGCCAAGTTTGTTCACTCTTCTCTCTGTTTAATTTCAAACTATTCCTTCAATGTGATTGGCGCGGTGGATGTGTTTACTGATTTATCAGTCATGGACCAGGTGTTGTTGAATCCCTCCCAGTCTCTGCATGAAATAGAACAGGAGTTGGAAGTGTTCAGGCCTTGCCTTCCTTCCAGAAGGGTCTCATAGCCCAGCTCCTGCATGTCAACGTGAACTAGAGTATGAATTTAGTAATGATACGTGTCAAGATTGTGAACCCTCCCAACCTTTGCTTAGTTCTGGAACTGACGGCTAGCCGATCAATATAAATACAAACCAAAAAACCCTACAATTCAAGGTTATGCTATTTTTAACAGAGTGAAGCTTACACTCTTGGTCAACTCTTTTAAAACTCTTGGAGGCAATTTCTCTGGACCGGCTGCTTTCAAAATGTCCATCTTCAGTAGCTTCTGCTTAACTCGCTCTATAAGTAGTAGTATGCAGAGATAGAATGCCGGAAGGGACCACTGTGGTCATCTACTCTGACTTCCTTTGTAACACAACTCATAGGCCTTCCTCAGAATAATTCCTTTATTGCAGCTTCTCTCTCGCATGTGGGGTGTGTTGCTGATTTAACTCTCAACTACTGAAGAGAGAGATCTTGGAGTCATTATGGATAGTTTTCTGAAAATATCCACTCTGTGCAGCGGCAGTCAAAAAACAAACAGAATATTAGGAATCATTTAAAAGGGGACAGAGAATAAGACAGGGTGCATCCAATTGCCTCTGTTTAAGACCATGATATGCCCACATCTTCAATACTGTGTATAGATGTGGTCACCTCATCTCAAAAAAGTATATTGGCCTCTGAAAGGGTTCAAGAAAAGGACAACAAAAATGATTAGAGGTCCCATATGAAGAGAGATTTAAAGAGACTGGGACTTCTCAGCTTAGAAAAGAGGAGACTGAAGGGTGATACAATAGGGATCTCTAAAATCATGACTGGTGTGGGAAAAGTGAGTAAGGAAACTTTATTTACTTGTTCCCATAACATAAGATCTAAGGGTCACCAAGTGAAATTAATTGGTAGCAGATTGAACAAAAAACAAAATCAAGTATTTCTTTACACAGAGCATAGTCAGACTGTGGAACTCCTTGCCAGAGGGTGTCGTGAAGACCAGGACTTTTAACAGGGTTCAAGAAAGAACTAGATCAATTCATGGAGGTTAGGTCCATCAACGGCTTTTGCCCGGAAGGGTTGGAATGGTGTCCGTAGCCTCTGTCATAGGCTGGGAATGGTGACAGGAAAGGGATTACTTGTTCATTCCAGCTGTGTCTAGACTGGCCAGTTTTTCCGGAAAATCAACCGCTTTTCTGGAAAAACTTGCCATCTGTCTACACTCGCCGCTTGAATTTCCGCAACAGCACTGACTTCCTACTGTAAGAAATCAGTGCTTTTTGCGGAAATACTATGCTGCTCCCATTCGGGCAAAAGTCCCTTTTGTGCAAAAGTTTTGCACAAAAGGGCCAGTGTAGACAGCTCAGACTTGTTTTGCGAAAAAAGCCACGATCGCGAAAATGGCGATCGGGGTTTTTTTGTGCAAAAGCGCGTCTAGATTGGCACGGATGCTTTTCCACAAAAAGTGCTTTTGCACAAAAGCATCCGTGCCAATCTAAGATGCTCTTTTCCAAAAATGCTTTTCACGGAAAACTTTTCCATTAAAAGCATTTCTGGAAAATCATGCCAGTCTAGACATAGCCTCTGTGTTTTGTTCATTCCTCTTGGGGCACCTGGAATTGGCTGTGGAAGGAAAACAAGATACTCGGCTAGATGACTCAGTGTGGCCGTTCTTATGTTCTTAGGTCAGAGACACTCAGTAATAGTAAAATGTAGCTCCTGTATCTCATGGCACCTTAAACAGAGGAGGTAGTATCGCTATCCCAAATTTACAGATGCAGCAACAAGGGATGTGAGACTGAAAATGACTTGCCCAAAATCACTCTGTGTATCCCATCTCCGTCTGTGAGGAGAATGAAAGGTGGACTGCAGTTCACTGTGATTCACTCTGCTCATGAAATGTTAGTATTTATTGTTTCGCGGAAAGCATGAAGTTGAGGGAATTCAATAAAATGTTGAAAAACAAAGATCAGTCCCACAGTCAAGGGAATTTTGGAAGCTTCTCTCTTTTGTTGAGTATCCAACTAAACTTTTTCTCTGCATTTGATAATTCAGGACACCACGATATTCCCTGCACTGAAGTCAGTTCTGTATGACAACAAGGAATTTCCAAACCCAGAGCAATTCAACCCGGGACACTTCTTGGACAAAAATGGTGCCTTTAAGAAGAGTGATTACTTCATGCCCTTTTCTGCAGGTAAAAGAAGCTGGTTTTGTTTCAGATCCAGACTGATCTCTGAGCTTTGCCTGGTCGCTCTCAGACTGGTTTGTGCGCAGTGTTTTCAGGTGGCCTGTGAAGCAGAGTCTCTCATGCTAGGAAAGCATCTGTCAGTCTTTGCAAGAGTGCCACTTCCCGCTTATTTGTCTGAAGTGAGTGTTTGGACTAGACACACACTCCATTCTCTACACCCTGCCTGGAAACTCCCTGTCTTGCTTTGTGTGGTGTCTGTCTGGTGTAAATGAATCCGTGATCAAAGGTGCATATCATAGTAATGTTGAAGGGAATACCAAACCTACAGTAGCCAGCTGCGTAATAATGTGCAGAGAGAGCACAGAAATACAGGGCTGGAAAGGACATCAAGAGTTCCTGAAGTCCAGCCCCCTCAGCTGATGTGGAACCACGTAAATATCAACCGTCCCTGACAGGTGTGTACCATCTTAAAACCATCTTCTTAAAACCCTTCAGTGGTGGGAATTCCACAGCCTCTGTGGCAAGCCTGTTCTAGAATCTGACTAACCCTATTTTTAATTTTCTTCTCTAATCTAAATCTCCCTGATTGCAGAGTAAGCCCATTACTTGTGCTACCGTCAGGACAAGGCGAACAATTGATTCTCATCCTCTTATAACAGCACTTAGTCTCTATATTGTGTCCCTGCTCTGTCATCATTTCTGATGACTCAACTGGTCCAGGGATCAGCTTTTGTAAATCTTCGAGCCTCTTTCATTTTGTTGTCTTACTCCGAAATCTCTCCAATTGTCCACGATTCCTGTAGTAACGAGCCCAGTATGGAACAGGGTACTCCAGTGGAGCCCTCACCAGTGCTGAGCAGAGCAGGAGAATGCCCTGCCGTGCCTTACATAACTCACGCCCACTAATACATCCCAGAATGTTATTAGCCTTTTCTGCAACTAAATCACACGCTTTATGTCTATTTAATGTGTGATCCACCCCTTAATCCCTTTCAGCAGTACCACTGCTTTGCCGCTACGGCTCATGCAATAGTTGTGCAAATATGAGACTCACACTGAATTCTATTATCCAAGTCACTCATGAAAATATTGATCAGTGCCAGTCTCAGGAAACACCCTTGCAGGACTCCACTATATGTGCCTCTCCACTTCAAAGCAAACTGTTCACAGCTACTTTCAGCAAGTTTTTTATTTTTTGACAATTGACAGTTTAACTATCTAATAGCAATTTCATCTAGACCACATTCCCCTAGTTTGTAGGGGCCTCTCTCCACTAGGCCACTAACCCTGTTGTAGAAATCTTTTGGTCTGAATGGGCTTGATTTGTTCTTGACATATGCACACTTGCTTGGCTATTCCTCATCAATCTTCTATCATCTATGTTCTTAGAATTTGATTTAGTTAGTTCTAGTGTCTTTCCAGGCTCACTGGTTACAATTCCTCGGGTCCCCTTTCATCCCTTTGTGATCTATGAGGGGATGACCATTATTCAATCTCTGTGTGCATCTAACCTTTATCCGGAGCTGTTGCTTCCATAACAACTGTATTTAAAATGTGCTGCAAAGAAAGATCTCCCGTGTGAACTCAAATTTTTTTTCCACGCAGGGAAACGGATCTGCTTGGGAGAGGGCCTGGCTCGCATGGAGCTCTTTTTGATACTCACGGCGATTTTACAGAACTTCACCCTGAAACCCGTTGTTGAACCCAAAGATATTGATATTACTCCAGTAACGTCATCTGTGGGAAATGCACCAAAACCATATGAGCTCTGTGTTCTTTACCGGTAAAGGTTACCTCAGTACATCAGTGGTGCGTGTGGTAGGCACAGGAATGTGGTATCTACACACAGTTGATGCAGATGCACCACTGAATGCTGGGATTGTGATGGCCACATCTCTTCCCTTCCCTATATTCCACGCTAGCAGAAGTTTTTATAGTGGTTTATGCATGTTCCACGGTGATTGGGGAGGTCTTATCTGCTATTTGGCTTCCTGGGTGCCTTGAACTTCCTGTATCCATACCAGCGAAACTGGGGAGTGGCATGGCAGATACCGTCCTAAGCCGCCTCAGAACCAGTATAGATCACAAAAGTGCAAGTTCATTCTGTCACTTCCAGCAGGAGATGGTGAAACAAGCTGAACCCCTCCCTCTGGAGACCCAGGTGCTGGGCTCCTTACTTTGTATTTTCTTTCTCCTCCCGATAGGGCTCCCTCCCTGCTGGGCCTCCTCACTCATCCTCTCTTGCTGCCTGGCTGCTGGGCACCCCTTCCCGCTTCTTAGATAACTACACTGTCTGAATAACAAGCCTTGTGGATAAGGGGGAAGCAGTAGTTGTGGTATGTCTTGATTGTAGTAAAGCGATTAATACAGTCTTGCATGATCTTATTCATGAAATGGAGAAATATAATGTTGATGGAGCTACTCTGAGTGAGTGGTTATCAATGATTCACAGTCATGCTGGAAGGGCGTAATGAATGGAGTTCCTCAAGGATCAGTTTTGGGACCAGTTCTGATCTATAGTTTCATCAATCATTTAGACCAGTGGTCCCTAACCTTTTGGGGCTGCCAAGTGCCTTGGAGGGTGGGGTCACGTATGCACTGTGCATCCGGGGGCAGGGCCACCATGCGCCATGTGCCCTGGGTAGGGCTGGCCCTGATCACTTGGAGGGCACACATAAATGCCCCAGCGGGTGCCATGGTGCCCACGGGCACTGCGCTGGGGACCACTGGTTTAGACGATGACATAGGGTATGTCTACGCTAGCCCCCTAGTTCAAACTAGGGAGGCTAATGTAGGCACTCGAAGTTGCAAATGAAGCCCGGGATTTAAATATCTCGGGCTTTATTTGCATGTTCCCATCCGGTCGCCATTTTTAAATTCCACTAGTCTGGAGTAACTGCCTGCGGCTACACACGGCAGTGAAATGGTAATTCGAACTAAGGAATTCAAACCACAGAGAGTACACTTAGAAGGTTTACAGAGGATACCAACCCAGGAGGGGTTGCAAGCAGTGTTCCCTCTAACCTTCAGGGCAGCTCAGACCTCCAGATAATTAATCAGCCCCACCCAGTCAAGGGCCCGGCGCACCATGTAAGGAGGGTGGTGCTGATTAAGCAGTTCTGAGTCTATGCTACCATGCAGCTTAGAGGGAACACTGGTTGCAAATGCTTTGGAGGATAGGGTTCTGATCAGTAGCTTCAGCAGCAATTTAGATGATGGAAGAGAGAGTATGCTTATAAAATTTGCGTATGATACCAGCCCGAGAGGGGCTGCAAGCGCTTTGGAGGACAGGGTCAAAATCAAAATGATCTGGACAAGCACGAGAAACAGTCGGAGGTAAACAGGATGAACTTCAATAAGGACAAATGCAAAGTGCTCAACTCAGGAAGTTTCACACTCACAGAATGGGAAGCGACTGTCTAGGCAGGAGTGCTGCAGAAAGGGATCTAGGGGTTAGTGGACCATAAGCTAAATATCAGCCAACAGTGTGACACTGTTGCAAAAAAAAGCAAACTTCATTCTTAGATGTATTAACAGGTATGTTATGAGCAAGAGACGAGAGGTGATTCTTCCGCTTGACTCTATGCTGATTTGGCCTCAACTGGGGTCTGATTCCAGACATTTTCTTCCTTCTTTGGCATTTGTATCCTGAGAGGGGGAGGCCTGGCACCTTATTTTACTGGGTGGAGAAAGGACAGAGATTCCCAGTTAGCTGTACGTGCTGCTTGCCTTTATGCGCCCCCAGGATCAATGAAGGGCCATTGTGCAGGCTGCCTGTGTAATGCCGGGAAGTCAAAATCAATCAGGAACCTGCTCCTCTCTACTGCATGAGCGAAAGGCCAGCGGGCTCCCAGCTAAGGCTGTAGGGCAGACTCATCACTCTCTCTGTAGATAGTCTGATTGCCAGCCAATGGGACAACGCACTGCACCCAAACATCCCGTCACTGGTCTTTTACTATGCCCAGCTACAATGCTCTTAATTAGCTGCGTTCTGCACGCCCAGTGTTTGCAAACCTGATTTGCTTTGGGTCAGGAATCTGTCTGGAACGGGGTGGGCAGGCAGTACAAGGGAAGAGAGGAAGGAGACAGTGGGGAGAGGGAGGGCCTAGGGCAGACCAAGGGTAGTGTATGGATGGGGCCATATGCAGAAGAGGCGGGCTGTGGAAATGAGCTCCTTGTTTTGAAATAGATAAATTGCTGGATTTTTATGTAACTGTCATTTAAAAAATAAATTATAAGATGAAAAAATAACCGTACAATTGACTCTCAAAGCCACGTGCCGTTTTTGTGTCGTGTGAAGCTGATGTGAGATCTCCCCCCTCACCAGCTTAGTGGGTCTTCCTCACAAGTGCTACAGCAGTGGCGCTGCTTCAGTGGTGCTCTCACATGTGACCTTGGAGCCAACGGGTCTCGGGCATCTGGGAGCCAAAGAACTGGGGGAACGCTCCGCAGGTCACCAGATAGTTGTGCTGGAATCAGCACATTCCTGAGAAGTGCTTTGTGACATGCGGGGCTGAGGTCACAGATCCTACGTTCATTGACTTGAACTCTAGAAAACCTGTTTTCTGGCAGCTCACCAGGAAATCAACAGATTTTGGTGAAATGTTTCTCCTTGAATGGGCATCTTCTGCTGCCTCTCACCTCCTGCTGGACCCCACAACGAATGTGAATACTCTGGATGTAGAATGTAACCCCTTCCCCCTTTGTTCCCTGCCCGTCCTTCCAGCACAACTCGTGACTCACTACACGAGTGCTCCACCCACGAGATGTACCCACCACGTCTCCAGGACACTCCATTTTGGAAGGTGTTACTCCATTTTGTACCAACTCCCCCAGTTCTGCGCTTCCCTCCCACTTCTCCTGCCACTTGGGCGCAGACACCTGAGATGTGGAGTGCTCTCTCCCACTACGTTCCCTCTTGTTACTCTACTACCCTGTTGTAAGTCTCCCCCAGCATGCAGCTCCCTGGCAGGGTCGCCATTTTCATACCTCCCTGTGGGCGTTGTCACCTGCCCCCTTTGTGCCTAGTTCAGAGACCGTCTGGCTGGGTTAGTGGGTTGTTGGCAGAGATTCCCTTCCCCTTCTAGGTCAGGACACAATCTCTTTCCAGCAGAGCATGTTCCCAGAAAAGCATCCTATGATGGGGGAATCCAGAACCCTCCTGTGGCCCCATCTGCTCCGCCATGCGCTCCTCTGTCCCAGGGATGCACGATCCTGTCTCCGGAAAAGCCAGAGAGTGAGGAGCCTTGCTTCTGCTGTGGATCTAGCAGACTGAACGGTGCTGGAAACACTGGCTCCCTGTTCCCTTGTCAGGTGTGCAGCTGAGGAGCCAGCGACAGGCGCTCAGGTTACTAAGGTGTCGAGTGGCTCCCTGTTCCCTTGCCAGGTGCGCAGCTGAGGAGCCAGGGACATAGGCGCTCAGGTTACTAAGGAGTCAAGAACCCAGGAGTCCTGGCAGCTTGCCAGTCCGGTTGCGCGATGCTGGATGTGTGGGTGAGCAGGCAGGGAGCGAGGCAGAGATTTCACAATTGACACATTTTTGTGAAATGTTTCGCTGTTGAGAAATCGGCATTTTCTATTTGAAAATTTCCAACCCGTTCCATGTGGTACCAGGCGGAGGCTTCCCACACTAGCTCTGAGTGGGGATGTATTGTGCAAGAGGGGCCTAGTAATCGTAGATGGTGCATGTGGAGGTGACGCAGGGCCTAGGGTTGCTACGCGTCTGGTTTTTGCCCGGAGAATCTGGTATTTGTGGCCTCTTAGATGGAAGGCCGGTGGGGCATTCATCTCCTGCTGCATCTGGTGGCAAGAGGAGTGGGGAGCGTGTAAATTTAAAGGCGCAGTGACTTTTTTTTTCCTCAACCATCTTTTTCCCCACCATGTTCAATATTTTGTTTTAAGTATCTGGCAACCCTAGCAGGGCCTGACAGAGCAGGTGGAGTCAGTGAGAACATGTTGAGGTTGGAAATCAGGGCCAAGAAGGAAATCCAGGAGGGAGGAATCGCTGACCTTTGCCCTGGCTGGAGTGTCTGGCAAGAGGCCTAGGGGGATGAGGCAGGACATGAAGTAGCTCTGGTGCTAAAGCCAAAGAAGCAGCAATGGGGTAGGAATGAGCACAAGGAAACAAAAACTGGAGCTCGCTAGTCACAGAGGCCTGGGCTGGAGCTCGGCCCAGTCTCGAGCGCTCTGGAGCAGGGTGCACAGGCCGTGAGTCGCTGGGCGAGAGCTAATTCCGGTGCTTAACTGGGCACGCGAGAGGTGCCAGGCTGAGGGGCTTTTCACTGTCATTCCTGGCACAGCAAGGCCACCGGTGACAGGGCCATGAGCTGCCAAGCTTGCAGCAGCCTGGCCAGCCCTGCAGTCACCAGCGGCTAATTCCCACACCCCTAAGCAGGCTCCCTTCAGGGTGGAGGGACCCCTTTGTGTCTGGCTTTGCACCACATCGTGCTCTGTTTGCCTGCGAAGGGCTGTGGGTGCTGCACAGATCCAGTCCCTGTTCAGCCATCCCCCAAAGAGAGGCCTCAGGCCTAGGGTTGCCAGGTGTCCAGTTTTCGACTGGACGTTCTATTATTTCTGGCCCCGTCCGGTAAAACCCCCCCAGAAAATACATGTTCAGCATTTTCTTTTTGTCTTGGATGGAAGGCCGGGCGGGGACATCCTTCTACTGCAGCGTCTAGTGGGGCAGGGGGAGCGAGGAGTACAGGGATATTTAAAGATGCATAGACCTTTTTTTTTCCCGTCTACAATTTTGGATTCCAGTTGTTTTTCTTTCTTTTTTTTTTTCTCAACCAATCGTTTTTCCTGCCATGTTCAGGATTTTTTGTGAAAGTGTCTCGCAACCCTACTCAGGCCTGGTTCAATGACAAAGGCCCTGGGCCGGGTTTCTTGCCCTCACAGCAGGCCTAGCGCCCTGTCTCCGTGGTTACCGGGACACGAACATATGTGTGCCCGGAAGGAGGGGCGGCTCAGACAGCCAGCAGGACTTTCTCCTGTGCTTCAGGCTGCACGCAGGATCATGGCGTGGTGCCCTGCAATTTACAGACTGAGACAGACCACTGGGGGACACAACCTATGGCCCATGGCCCGTAGTGCATGGCATCTCCTTGTTCCTGATTTTGGGGACAAAACGTCCCTCTTCTTTCTTCCGTCTCCTCCCAGAGTGTAGTGTCTCTGTACCAGCCTCCTGAAACGTTTCTTTCATAAACATCTCGTGTGGTGTTATTGTGGCAAGGCCAGGCCTGGTCACCTTGGCAGCCTTTGGTTCAGGCCTCAGGTCGTGTACCAGGCCGTGTGCTCTGGGCTCTGTTTCTCTATTACCCCTGTTGTCATCCCAGCAGCAACACACCATCCATTCCTTACAGAAACGCTTTCCCTCTTTGCTAATCCTGATCCTCTGTCTCTGTGCTCCTATCTGCCTTCATCTCTGTCCCGCTGCAAAGATACGACAGATGGCGCAAAGCATTTTGGAGAAGCATCAAGGAATGAAACACTGTGCAGACGGACTTTCTGTAGCCGCCACAAATCGTCCCCTATCTGCATCGCAGTGCACTCCCAGCAGTCTGAGCTTGTCTTGTGGCACCAGGACCGGCATTGCACAGTGTCCAAAAGATTGACTGGTGGTGGTGGTAGCATCAGTGCCAGGCCTTGCATGAGCACGGCCTCCATGCCATGCCCAGCTTTGTCCTAGTCCTCTTCCTGCAAGAGGGATTAGCGTGTGCTCTCCAAGCACTGCAGCATTGGGTGACCCACGACACACAACATCATCACAATGGCTGCTGCAAACCAGGCTCCTGGCTTGTCTTCCTGTGACATCTGAGAAGACGAGGACGGCACCTAAAGGCGTGAGATGCTGTCTGCCCTTTATCTCACTCAAGAGGGGAGGGAAGACATGGGTGCATTATGGGATGCTGGCGACACAAGCCCATAATCACCTGCTGTACAGTTTTGGTTGGTGAGAGCACTATGAGCATAGCCCAGCATGCAAAGCTACCCATGGTTCATCACTCTGAGTCAATAGTAGGTTCCCGACATGGGATGTGATACTTCACATTACATTTGATTCATCCCCCCCGGTGATGACGTGGACTTTCTACTTCGCAAAATCGGGTGGTAAGAAATCGACCATATTAGATTAGACTTTAGCTCATAGTGTAGCCACAACCATTAGCGTTTTAATGTTTCAGTTTGACACCAAGAGTCATACAGAGTTGGCATCAAGGAAGGTGGATGACAACAGTATTTAAAAATTAACAAGACTTTGTGAAATCTCTGGAAACAATCATGATTTGGTATCAATTTGTAACAAATGTTCAAGTTTTTCTCAAGTGTCAGCTGATTATTTATCCATAGGCTAATCTTAGAGAGCAACATGAAAAGGAATCCTCAACCTACACGTATCATGTTCCAGCTGGCACACATGCCTCTGAGAAATATTTAACCACACGGTTGGAGACAGTGAGTCATTTCACGATCATTTGGGCAATTTTACAGTGAATCTGTATGGGATTAAATATCATGCTCCATCAGTGAGTACACAAGGGGAAGGGGAGATGAAATTTTATGAAAGGTTCAAAGGACTTCATTCCTAATGTCACAACACGGGTCACTTTGTTAGTCCGGTGCTTATCTCGTTACCATAGCAGAACTGAGAGCTCCTATTGGCAAATTGCTTCCACCCACTTTGTCTCTATAGAATATAAAAAGGGAGATGCCTGAAATACAAATAATCCCTATTAGCCGTTGCTAACACCCGACAATGGAACCGCTGGGAGCAACCACGGTGTTCCTGGTCATTTGTGTCTCTTGCCTTCTCTTCCTCTCCACATGGAGAAAGATGCCTGGAAGTGGGAAGCTGCCGCCCGGGCCTGTTGCTTTCCCCCTCGTTGGGAACATGCTGCAGCTGAGAAAGAAGAGCTTGCCCCTGCATGTAGAGGAGGTAAGGGTGGTCTCTTGGTATCCGTTGCTGGGTTGGTAGCAGGCATTTAGCTCAGCCTAGCTCAAGCCCAGCCTGGTGGCAGTGCCATGTCGGCTCAAATGCCCAACTTACTGCTGCTTAAAACAATCAGTCTTGGATTGCAGATGTAAATGGTTTGGGATAATCCTCTGTCACAGACTCCAGGTGTGCCCTTGGGCATGCCACATAACCTCTCTCTGCCTTCATTTCCCATCTCTAAAACTGTTCTATGGACATTTGCCTACATCACAATACGTAGGTTAGGCAGAGACTGCAGCTCAGCATAGAACCAGCTGACATGACTGAATAGATGCCGGAAGCATTTATCTGGTGTTTGAAGGGTCATGTTTACATAGCACTCAGTATCTCTATTAAGGGTCACTCACACACAGACACACACGCACACCAATGGGGAAACAAGTATAAAATACACGAATCTAACACAGGATGCACTGAAAAGTCAGGCAGTCCCTGACCTCCAAGACATGTAGGTGCCTAACGCTCACTGAAATCAGTGAAGTGAAACTCCTAAATAGCTTACAGGATCCTGGCTGAAATGGCCAAGTCTGGGCAGTGATCAGTGGTCAGAATTGACTAGTATTAGCTGAGTGGCAGGAAAGGGCTTGTATAATTTGATCTACTCCCCCCAATTCTTACCCTTTGAGAAGTGGCTCTAAATTAACACACGTTGGCCTTTTTGTTCTGTTACAGCTCAGTAGAACGTATGGCCCGATTTTCACGATCTACTTGGGCTCCGAGCGGGTTGTGGTGCTGCATGGATATGACATTGTGAAGGAAGCTCTGGTTGGTCTCGGGGACGAGTTCAGTGGAAGAGGAAGCATGCCATTATTCGAGAGAGCTGCCCAAAGATCAGGTACATGTGGAATAACGTCTGCACATAGAACTGATACGTTTTGTATGGCGAGAACACAGCTAGGAAAAGACACCGGAAAGAGATAGAGTTTTGTTAATAAGTAATAAAAATGGGAGAGCACAGACACAGAATCAGTGAAGTTGAAGTTGAACCTTTGGCTCAGCCATGTTTGGGTGTTTGTGAAACAGAGAGACAGCTTCGGCTTTCCCTCCTTTCAGGCCTGTTCTCTTCCCGTCTCCAGGTATCGCTTTCACCAACGGGGAGCAGTGGAGACAGCTCCGGCGATTTGCCATCACAACTCTGAGAGATTTTGGGATGGGGAAGAAAAGCATTGAGGAGCGGATCCAGGAGGAAACCCGTTTTATGGTGGAAAGACTCAGAAACACACACGGTGGGGATTGTTTCTTGTCCACTGAACACTGAGCAGAAAGACAAGTCTTGACTTTGCTTTTAATGATGTTATTTGTTTGCGTCTAACATCTTATAACAGAAGCCATGAGCTGCCCCGACAGCAGCCTGTAGTGATGTCATGGGAAAGGATGGGTGAAATGTGCCAGAGATGACCCCTTGTGGTTGCTGCTTTGTCACATTTGTCCCTTGTGATGTGTGACCAAAGCGCAAATGCATGATGCTTGTCTAGAGTGTGTAGACACTGACACAGTGAGCTGCATTAGAGCGGGTTAGTTCCAGTGTGCTAGGTTCGCAAGCCACCTATTCCTATGGTTTGCTAATTCTCATTTTCTTCCCTGCTCCATGTCTGACCCACATTAGGCACCAAGTTTCTAGAGTGAAGGGCCCCGTGGGAATGTTTGAAACCCCTGTGGAAATACACTGGGCTTCATAAAGGACTCTCATTCCCTTGTTTCTCATTCCGCTCCATGGCATGCGGAGCACGGGGACTTCCCCAGAGCCTTCCTCCTTTGCCAGCCTCTTACTGCCGGCTCAGCTTCTTCCGCTGCCATTCTCATCACTAGACATTCTGCTCCTCTCTGGCCTTTTCACATCACTGCTGAACTGCTGCCTCGCCTCTGGCCTGGGCTGTTCTCATGCACCTGTCTTGTCTTACTCCACGTCTTTGGTCCAGGCGCGTTCCTGCCATCTCCATTTCCATCCCCGGCCCACCAGTGACTGCTTCCCCTTCCCCTAGGCTGCTTCCCTGGTGACGTTTTCTCTATCCATCTGACACTGAGCACCTGTCTCCAGCAGCTGTTTGAGAACTTGGGGTGTAGACGAGGGGGGGAGTCTCCACACTTCTGCAGGTGTCAGCAAGGTAGAGTGAGAGCCGCTCCAGCTGGTGCCATCTGGTAATGATGGTACCACCACGCCAGTGATGGTCCAGCCACAGTCCACTGGGCAGCCCCCGTTGTGAAGGAGTTGCAGGGCACCCAGACGTCATGGGGCCTCATGCGATTGGGCCTCTGGGCAGGTCTTCAGAACCACCCAGCGCACATCGCCTGGCTCTCCGACGTTGATTTGAAGGCTCTGGACTCCAGCATCAGCCACTCTCACTGTAGCAGTGTTTGTGAGCCCTGGACTCTTCCAAATCGCTGTACCCTGCTGCCCACTTTGCCCCCACCTATCTTCATGCCTGACGTAGCAGGAGCCGTTCTTGAAATGGGCCTCAGATCAGACATGGACTCAGACAAGGACTGATGGTCCCTGGTGAGGCCAGAATGGGCCAGGCAGAGAGCCACATAGCAAACACATTGTGTGAGAGGTAACTGTAGTGATGGGCAGCCCTAACCTCCCCCTCCCCACGGCATATTGCAGTGGGCCCACCTGGCCCTGTGGGGAGAGACCCCCAATGTCCCCGTGCTGCCACTGACTAGTGTGCACAGAGATGTTCCTGCTGTAAAACTTACTCCTTTTCGTTTTGGTTTGCTCCAGGGCGGCCCTTTGACCCCAGGCTCTTCCTCACCCACGTCTTCTCCAACGTCATCTGCTCCATCGTCTTCGGGGACCGGTTTGACTACGAAGATGAGAACTTTGTTACTTTGATTAGTCTCATCTTGGAAAATGGCAAACTCCATCAATCTCCCTGGGCAGCGGTATGTTGACAGATTTGTTCTGTTCTTATTGACTGTAATCGGGGTAGGGGATGGAGATTTCTGACTTTTTAAAATTTTCCTTTAAAATTGTTAGATCAAATTCCCTAGAATGGTCCCCTTTTTCAACCAAAATCACCTCCCAGCTTCTTTCTAATGGCTTTTCAAATTCCATCACAAAACACGTTGTTCGCTCAGAATTCAGTTTGCTCAAGTATATTCTCTATCAACACAATTGGCAGTAATCAGGGAACTCACCAATCAATACAATGATACCAACGCCAATGATAATTCACGCGCCGTAGGACTTCTGTAATGTGCTATGTAATCCCATTCCTCACCTCCAAAGCAAACTTCCTTTCACTTCCATTTCATACCCATCCCCTCCATTTGATTGTGTTTTCTGAAAGCCTCCCCAATTGCACAGTGAAGGGCCAAACGTTCTTCTGATGTGATTCAGGTAAAAGACGTGACGTTAAAATAGCAGAAAATTCAGCCCTGTAACTTCCACCTCAGGAAGTCTAATGCATATTTTCCCTTTAGAGTTTATAATGGTGGATTGCTAGCTAAGAAACTCCGTGGTAGGACGAAGGCTGGGTGCATCTGTGGCTTTTTTCTTCAGTAGAGGGATGTGCGATTTGTTGGAAAGAATGGAGAGTGTCTTTTATGAGGCGTTTTTATCTCTCTTATACTGTCTGACTTAGAGCTTGCGACGTTCTCTTGAATTTTGATTTTGATTAGAAGGCGCCCTAGAAGATTTGAATTTTAGGCCTGTAGTTGTGTCATTGAAGCGAACATGGTCCTTGTCTCTTAAGTCCAGATAAATCAACCTGTGTTTTTCTTTCAACCTTTATAGCTATACAGTTTTTTCCCAACGATCATGGAATATGTCCCTGGGCCTCACCACGGGGTATTTAAAAATTATGAGGAGTTTAGAAGATTTGTTGGGGAGAGAGTGAACACGCATAAAGCGTCTCTGGATCCTAATTGCCCTCGGGACTTCATCGATGCTTTCCTCATCAAAGTCGAAGAGGTAAGTGAGGGCAGCAGTTCATCCCCACTACTGTGGTGGGAGCTGCGCATCATCTCATTGGGATTAATTTGTTCAAAAATGACATAGGACATGGCGGTGGGAAAGGCCGAAGGGGAGAAATGGTTTGTACCCAAGGAATGTACGTTATTATGCTCTGTTCTCCTGTTTCATATGAAGTAAAATAAAAATCACCCTGTTACACTGAAAAGGCCCATGCACTGCAGTAATGTTGTTGTAGTCTTAGTTGCTATGGGCCATTTATGTGGGATTTTAATTATGAGAACAGGTGAGTCACCTGTTGGGTGGAAGATGACTCTTTTATGGCCGATAAAAATGTTTCCTAAAGCTTTGCAGTCAAACCTGAAACACCTTCCTCCAATCATTTTTCAGGAGCAAAAGAATGGTGACTCGGTATTTACAGAAGAATGTTTGGTAGGAAGCACGGTTGATTTATTTGTAGGTGGAACAGGGACATCTAGCATCACTCTATACTTTGGACTTCTGGTTCTTCTGAAATTCCCAGAAATAGAAGGTAACAACACATACATACCCTCAAAGTGGTAGACCTAAGGAACATTTGTGGTATGTTTGGGAGGGAGCAGCTTTAACCATGATCTCAAGAGATATTTGGGCACATGAGAACTCTGAGATTTTGGTGGAATAACCAACAAACTAGAAAAGAGCTTCATGTTTGCATTAGCTGAAAAATGGAAGGCAAAAAGCTTTTAAAGTGATAATTAGAAGGAAATAGATTGGCTATCATGGTTTTCCTACCAGCTCAAAGACACTGGAAGGTGTATTTCCAGTAGATAAAAATGTTACCACCATTTTTCAGTGCCAGTTGTGTTTTCTTTTCCTATTAAGGTACTCAGCAATTGGAAATAAATTCTTGACCATTGTACTGTCTTTATACAATGCCTTTGATATTTCTCCAGAACAAATGAAAACACACGTCAGTTCAAGGTACTAAGGATGTCAAGATTCAAAACACTGAAAAAATTAAACACAATTTGCCTTTACCAATAACTGATCTAAAACCCTGTTTGAGCCCCTGGGAACTGTTTTGTTCTATTGTTTATAAACCATGAGTACATCTATACAATGGACCAAGTGGATGATTCTTTACTGAGACAGTATAACACGACAAATTAAATCTTAAACGTTATGTTAAAAATTGCCCTCTAAACACTTTCAAGGGCATTCTCAAATATTAAGATAAACTTTAAAAATAATGTATAGTCTGGTAGCACTTTATAGACTAACAAAATGTGTAGATCATGGCTTCCAAAGCTGGAGGGCATACCCCTTTCGGGGGGACATGAAGCAATTCCAGGGGGATGCGAGGTGACCCAGCCCCCCGCGTCAATTCCCCCCCCCCCCCCCCAAGAAAGAGACCGGATTTTCTGTCTCCTCGGCCACTGAGACAGACTTCAAATTGGCCAACTTAAAAGGGCAATGCCAGCTCTGCTCTCAAAAGGGCAAATTTTATTTTATTTTATTTTTTTGCTCAATAAGTTTTGCTGATATTCTTGGAAGGGGGCATGAGGGTTTCTCAAAAATGAAAAATGGGGCATGATATCAAAAAGTTTGGGAACCACTGGTATAGATGGTATCATGTACTTTCATGGGCCCAGCCCACTTCTTCAGATGACCAGAGTTTTTTAAGTTTATCCTGTACAGACTAACTCAGCTACTCCCAAAGCTTCAGATATTAAGGATGCTAGTAAACAGACCTGTTCTAAGAAAAACAACCTGGTCAAATCACATAAACCTGGAAATTGGGAAAGAAAAGTCTCAGTTGTCATTAGATTTATTCATGAAAGAACACATTATTATTTTGGGGTTGAGAAGCAGTAAAATAACAACTTCAGCTTTTCATCGGGAGCAACTGGAATGTCAAAGGGAATCACTGAAAAGAAAGCTGCTGAGCTTTCCGGGGGAGACGTGAAGAATGCATGAAGCAATAAATGGATACACAGTGTGTCCCCTTCAGTCACCAGATCACATCACAATGAAGTGAGTTGAAGATGGGTCAGAGGGATTTCCTGCCCCAGGCCCCTGCAGGCAGGAGATCTCATCCAAAGAGCCCCATTGCAACAGTCAGTCTTGTGCCTGTATTGACCATCTGAGCAAAGGGCCCAAGGGCTGAATAGGCCGTTGGGAGTGAATTCCACTCTCAGATTTACCATTATTGTTAAATCTCATTCATCTGGTTACAGAGAAAGTTCACGAAGAGATTGACCGTGTGATTGGCCGAAGCCGAAGCCCCAGCATGGCGGATCGAAGCCAGATGCCCTACACAGATGCTGTGTTACATGAAATCCAGAGATTCCTTGCCATTGTGCCTCTAGGTATCCCACATGCTGTGACTAAGGATGTTCATCTCAAGCAGTACGTGATTCCCAAGGTCAGTTCTGAACATGTGTGTGTGAAAGGCCAAGTTTGTTCACTCTTCTCTCTGTTTAATTTCAAATTATTCCTTCAACATGATTGGTGCGGGGGGGTGTATTTGCTGATTTATCGGTCGTGTTCCAAGTTAAGTCCCTCCCAGTCTCTGTGTAAAGCAGAACAGGAGTTGGAAGTGTTCAGGCTTTGCCTTCCTTCCAGCAGGGTCTCGTAGCCCAGCTCCTGCATGTCAATGTGGACTAGAGAATGAATTTAGTAACGTGCGCACCAAGATTGTGAACCCACCCAACCTTTGCTTAGTTCAGGAATTGATGGCTAGCTGATCAATATAAATACAAAGCAAACCAATAACCCCACATTTCAAGGTTTTGATATTTTTAACAGAGTCATGCTTGCGCACTGGGTCAACTCTTTTAAAACACTTGGATGCAATTTCTCTGGACTCGCTGCTTTCAAAATATCTAACTTCAGTAGCTTCTGCGTAATACACTCCATAGTAGTAGTGTGCAGAGATAGAAGGCCAGAAGGGTCCACTGTAATAATCTTCTTTGATTTCCTTTGTAACACAGCTCATAGGCCTTTCTCTGACTAATTCCTTTAATGCAGCTTCTCTCTCACATGCGGGGTGTGTTGCTGATTTAACTAATCATGGTACCAACTACTCAAGAGAGAGATCTTGGAGTCGTTGTGGATAGTTTTCTGAAAACATCCAGTCAGTGTGCAGTGGCAGTCAAAAAGAAAATGGAATATTGGGAATCATTTAAAAAGGGATGGAGGATAAGACAGGGAACATCTTATTGCCTCTGTACAAAACCATGATACGTGCACATCTTCAATACTGCGTACAGATGTGGTTGCCGCATCTCAAAAAAGTATATTGGCCTTGGAAAAGGTTCAAGAAAAGGACAACAATAAAAATGTTGAGGGTTTGGAATGGGTCCCATGTGAAGAGAGATTTAAAAGACTGGGATTTTCAGCTTAGAAAAGAGGAGACTAAGCGGGCAATATGATAGGGGTCTATAAAATCATGGCGGGTGTGGGAAAAGTGAATAAGGAAACGTTATTTACTTGTTCCCATAACATAAGAACTAGGGATCACCAAGTGAAATTAATTGGTAGCAGGTGGGAAAAAACCAAAAAGAAGTATTTCTTCACACAGCACGTAGTCAGCCTGTGGAACTCCTTGCCAGAGGATGTTGAGAGAACCAGGACTTTAACAGAGTTCAAGAAAGAACTAGATTGATTCATGGATGTTAGGTCCTTCAATGGCTTTAGTCTGGATGGGTAGAAATGGTGTACCTAGCCTCTGTCCGTGTCTGGGAATGGTGACAGGAAAGGGATTACTTGATCATTCCCTGCTCTGTTCCTTCCCTTTGGGGCACTAGGCATTCCCCATGATCAAAAGACGGATACTCGGCTAGATGACTCAGTTTGGCTGTTCTTGTGTTCTTAGGTCAGATGCACTCAGTAAATAGTAAAATTTAGCTCCTGTATCCCACAGCACTTTACACAGAGGAGGTAATATCCCCAATTTACAGATGCGGTAACAAGGGATCTGAGACTGAAAATGACTTGCCCAAAGTCACCTCGTGTATCCCATCTATGTCAGTGAGGCAAATGAAAGGTGCCCTAAAGGTGCAGTTCAGTGCGATTAACTCTGCTTGTGAAATGTTAGTATTTATTGGTTTTGCGGAAAGCATGAAGTTGAGGGAATTCAAGAAAATGTTGAGAAACAAAGATGAGTCCCATAGTCAAGGGAATTTAGGAGGCTTCTCTCTTTTGTTGAGTATCCACTTTAACTTTTTTTCTGCATTTGCTAATTCAGGACACCACGATATTCCCTGCACTGAAGTCAGTTCTGTATGACAACAAGGAATTTCCAAATCCAGAGCAATTCAACCCGGGACACTTCTTGGACAAAAATGGAGCCTTTAAGAAGAGTGACTACTTCATGCCTTTTTCTGCAGGTAAAAGATGCTGGTTTTGTTTCAGATCCTGGCCTGTCTCCAAGCTTTGCCTGGTCGCTCTCAGACTGGTTTGTGCGCGGTGTTTTCAGGTGGCCTGTGAAGCAGAGTCTCTCACGCTAGGAAGGCATCTGTCAGTCTTTGCAAGAGTGCTACTTCCTGCTCATTGGTCTGAAGTGAGTGTTTGGACTAGACACACACTCCATTCTCTACATCCTCCCTGGAAACTTCCTGTCTTGCTTTGTGTGGTGTCTGTCTGGTGTAAATGAGTCCGTGATCAAAGGTGCAGACAACGCTAACGTTGAAGGGAATACCAAACCTACAGTAGCCATCTGCGTAGTCATGTGCAGAAATAGCACTGAAATGCAGGACTGGAAGGGACATCGAGAGTTCATAAAGTTCAGTTCCCTGTGCTGATATGGAACCACATAAATATTGACCATCCCTGAATGGTGATTGTCCGCCTCTTCTTAAATCCCTCCTGTGACAGGAATTTCACAGCCTTCGTAGCAAGCCTGATGCAGAGTTTGACTAACTCTATTTTTAATAAACTTAAAAAACAACAAATAGCCGAGTTCATCTATACAGGATAATCTTAAAAAACAACAAATGGTCTGGTAGCACTTCATAGGCTAACAAGACATGTCGATGGCATCATGAGCTTTCATGGGCACAGCCCACTTCTGCAGATGATCGGAGTTTGTCTTCAAAGAGGACTGCGGAAGTGGGCGGTGCCCACGAAAGCTCGTGATGCCATCGACATGTTTTGTTAGTCTATAAAGTGCTATCAGACTATTTGTTGTTTAAGTTTAACTCAGCTACCCCTGGAAGCTTCTATTATTAATTTTCTTCTCTAATCTAAATCTCCCTGATTGCAGAGTAAACCCATTCCTACTTGTCCTACCGCTAGGGGACATGGAGAACAATTGATACCCTGATTGCTGGTATAAGAGGACGGGAATCTGTAGTCTCGTTATTGTGTCCCTGGTCTGTTATCTTTTCTGATGACTACACTGGTCCAGGGATCAGCTTTTCTAAACCTTTGAGCAGGATTCATTTTGTTGCTGTAGGCCAGTCCTGGAGGGGTTCCTCCGCCTCCGGGTCAGTGGGCAGCCAGTCTGCCCCACTGCACAGACTCTTAAAATAGTCCCTGAGTCAGTATTCCCACAACCCGGCCTTGCTCAGGATGGGGCAAGAGGCAAACAGTTCAGGTGCCTGTCTTTGCTTCAGGTCTGGGCCAAAGGTAAGAGTTCAATACAGTTTTGAGCCCTGGCACTAGGTCAGGGTGGGGCAGCAAGCAAACAATGCACAGTTACAGGTTTCCAAGCCCAGGCCTTGTTCTAGGTGGGGCAATAAGCTCTTAATGAGGAGAGTCCTGGCCTTGGTTCAGGGCATGGCCACAAACACAACACAGGTTTGGGTCTCCTTGTTCAGGAGAGAGGCAGGCAGTTCTCCTGCAGTAGCGGGGAGGGGGAGACTGCCACCTGGTAGGTGGGGGGCGGGCGCAGGCCTGCCCTCTCCTCTGCACCCCGGCCCAGAGCCCTAAATGCAGCCAAGCAGCTGCGGCTGGCTCGGCAGAGGCTCCTTGGGGTCCCGCTGGTCCTCAGGGTCCCAGGGTACAGGCTGGTTTGGGCCATGCCCCAGTCTCCCCAACAGGGAGCACTGGGCAGGCCTCTGGTTCCTTTGGGTCAGAGGGTAGGCCTGTTGGAGGGCCCAGCCAGGTCTCTGCATCCCCGTCAGGGAGTTCTGTGTCAGCCTTGGGGTCGGAGGCAGTTGGAGGCCTGAGCCAGGTCTTGGCCTCTCTGCAGGCCTCTGGCACCTCCAGAGGCTGGGCCCAGACTGAGTCCTCAGCCTGGCTACTTATAGGCCTAGCTCCACCCACTGACGTCCAGACAGGTGACAAGGAAGGGGATAGGCTGTGCCCAAAATGGCTCCCAGAAGGGTTCCTCCATCTCCGGGTCAGTGGGCGGCCAGTCCGCCCCACTACAGTTGCGTTACTCCGAAATCTCTCCAATTTATCCACGTTTCCAAGGGAGGAGCCCAGAATGGGACAGGCTGCTCCAGTGGAGATGTCACTAGTGCTGAGCAGAGCAGGAGATGCCTGCCATGCCTGGCATAACCCACGCCCGCTAATACAGCCAGAATGTTATTAGCCTTTTCTGCAACTAAATCACACGCTTTATGTCTATTTAATGTGTGATCCACCCCTTAATCCCTTTCAGCAGTACCACTGCTTTGCCGCTACGGCTCATGGAATAGTTGTGCAAATATGAGACTCACAGGCTATGTCTACACTGCAGGCTTTTTGCACAAGAACAGCTGTTCTTCCGCATAAACTTGCAAAGTGTCTACACTACACGCGCGTTCTTGCGCAAGTAAATTTACAGTAAAGTGTCAGAAAACAGGGCTTCTTGCGCAAGAGTTATTCCTCTCCCCACGAGGAGTAAGCCTTCTTGTGCAAGAACTCTCCCACAAGAAGGCAGTGTAGACAGGCAACAAGGGTTTCTTGCACAAGAAAGCCCTATGGCTAAAATGGCCATCAGACCTTTCTTGCGCAAGAGAGGTCCACACTGCCATGGACGCTCTTGCGCAAGAGCACATCTCTTCCACAAAAGCACATGGCAGTGTGAACGTGCTCTTGTGGAAGACCTTTTGCACAAGAACTCTTGCGTAAAACAGTTCTTGCGCAAGAAGCCTACAGTGTAGACGTAGCCACACTGAATTCTGTTATCCAAGTCATTCATGAAAATATTAACCAGTGCCAGTCTCCGGAACCGCCTTTGCAGGACTCCGCTATAGCCACCCTTCCACTTTGAACTAAACTTTAGATAGCTACTTTGAGCAAGTGTTTTTTTGATAATTGACAGTTCAACCATCTAATGGTAATTTCATCTAGACCACATGACCCTGGTTTGTAGGGTCCTCTCTCTGCTAGGCCACTAACCCTGTTGTAGAAGTCTTTTGGTCTGAATTAGCTTGATTTGATCTTCACAAATTCACACCGGCTTGGCTATTCCTCATCAATCTATTATCATCTATGTTCTTAGAATTTGATTTAGTAAGTTCCCATGTCTTTCCAGGTTACAGTTCCCCTGGTCCTCTTTCATGCCTCTCTGATCTCTTAGGGGTCAGCCATTATCCTCAATCTGTGTGTGCATCTAACCTTAATCCTGAGTTGTTGCTTCCATAACAACTGTATTTAAAATGTGTTACCCAGTAATATCTCCCGTGCAAACTCAAAATTCCTTTTCCTTGCAGGGAAACGGATCTGCTTGGGAGAGGGCCTGGCTCGCATGGAGCTCTTTTTGATACTCACAGCGATTTTACAGAACTTCACCTTGAAACCCGTGGTTGAACCCAAAGATATTGATATTACTCCACTAACAACTTTTGTGGGAAATGTACCAAAACCGTTTGAGCTCCGTGTTCTTTACCGGTAAAGGTTACCTCAGTACATGGGCAGCGCGTGTGGTAGGCACAGGAATGCGGTATCTACACACAGCTGATGCTGATGCTGGGGCTGTGGTAGCCATGACTCTTCCCTTCCCTATCTTCCATGCTAGCAGAAGTTTTTATTATAGTTCATGCATGTTCCAGGGTGACTGGGGAGGCCTTATTTGCTATTCAGCTTCCTGGTGTCTTGTACTTCCTGTATCCATACCAGTGAACCTGGGGGGCAGAGTGGCAGATAGCCTCCTAAGCTGCCCCAGAACCTGCATACAACATAAAAGCGCAAGTTTGTTCTGTCACTTCCAGCAGGAGATGGTGGAACACGCTAGACCCTCCGGAGACCCCAGGTGCTGGACTCCTTGCTTTGTATTTTCTTTCCTTCCCTCCCTGCTAGGCCCCTCACTCATCCTCTATCCCTGCCTGGCTGCTGGGCACCCCTTCCAGCTTCTTAGGTAGCTTAATTGTCTGAATAACAAGCCTTGTGGATAAGAGGGAAGCAGTAGACCTGGTATGTCTAGATTGTAGTAAAGCATGTAATATGGTCTCGCATGATCATCTCATTAATAAAACGGGGAAATATAATGTCAATGGGGCTACTTTAAGGTGGGTGCATAACCGGTTGGATAACCACTGTGCGTGAGTTGCCATCAATACTGGAAGGGCATAGTGAGTGGGGTTCTGCAGGGATCTGTTTTGGGACCAGTTCTGAGCTATAGTTTCATCAATCATTAAATGATGGCATAGAGGGTACACTTAGAAGGTTTGCAGAGGATACCAACCTAGGTGGGGTTGCAAACAGTGTTCCCTGGAAACTGCAGGGCAGCTCAGACATGCAGCTGATTAATTAGCCCTGTCCGGTCAGGGGCTGAGGGCTCCATGCAGGGAGGATGGTGCAGATTAAGCAGCTGCGGGTCTATGTTACCCTAGAGCGTAGAAGGAACATTCAATACAGTTTCTGTGTTGCCTCAGACATGCAGCTGATTAATTAGCCCTGTCCGGTCAGGGGCTGAGGGCTCCATGCAGGGAGGATGGTGCCGATTAAGCAGCTGTGGGTCTATGTTACCCTAGAGTGTAGAAGGAATGTTCAATACAGTTTCTGTGTTGCATGAGGCTGATGTGAGATCTCTCCCCTCGTGGCCTAGTGGGTCTTCGTCACAAGTGCTACAGCAGTGGCGCTGCATCAGTGCTGCTCTCTGACACGAGACACGGGCGCCAACAACGTCTCGGGGATCTGGGAGCCTAGGAACACCTGGGGTCTCGGGCATCTGGGAGCCAAAGAACTGGGGGAACGCTCCGCAGGTCACCAGATAGTTGTGCTGGAATCAGCACATTCCTGAGAAGTGCTTTGTGACATGCGGGGCTGAGGTCACAGATCCTACGTTCATTGACTTGAACTCTAGAAAACCTGTTTTCTGGCAGCTCACCAGGAAATCAACAGATTTCGGTGAAATGTTTCTCTTTCCTTGAATGGGCATTTTCTCACCTCCTGCTGGACCCCACAATGAATGTGAATTCTCTGGATGTAGAATGCAACCGCTTCCCCCTTTGTTCCCTGCCCGTCCTTCCAGCACAACTCGCGACCCGCTCCACCCACGAGATGTACCCACCACGTCTCTGGGACGCCAGCGAAGGCGTTACTCCATTTTGTACCAACTCCCCCAGTTCTGCCCTTCCCTCCCACTTGTGCGTGGACACGAAAGATGTGGAGCTCGCTCTCGCACTACGTTCCCTCTTGTTACTCTACTACCCTGTTGTAAGTCTCCCCCAGCATGCAGCTCCCTGGCAGGGTCGCCATTTTCATACCTCGCTGTGGGCGTTGTCACCTGCCCCCTTTGTGCCTAGTTCAGAGCCCCTCTCACTGGGTTAGCTAGTCGGTGGCAGAGATTCCCTTCCCCTTCTTGGTCAGGAGGACGCCATCTCTTTCTAGCAGAGCGTGTTCCAAGAGGAGCATCACATGATGGGGGAACCCAGAACCCGCCTGTGGCCCATCTGTTCCGCCATGCGCTCCTGTGTCCCAGGGATGCACGATCCTGTCTCCGGAAAAGCCAGAGAGCGAGGAGCGTTCCTGCTCCTACAGTTCTCGTAGCAGACTGAACGGTGCTGGAAACACTGGCTCCCTCTTCCCTTGCCAGGTGCGTAGCTGAGTAGCCAGTGACAGGTGCTCCGGTTACTAAGGAGTCGAGCTCCCAGGAGTCCTGGTCGCTTGGCGGTCCAGATGCTAGCAGCTGGGTGTGTGGGTGAGCAGGCAGGGAGCGAGGCAGAGATGTCACAGTTGACACATTTTTGTGAAACGTTTCACTGCTGAGCAATCGGTGTTTTCTATTGGAGAATTTCCAACCCGTTCCATCTGGTGTCATGGGGTGGCTTCCCACACTAGCTCTGAGTGCGGGAGGGGCCTATTAATTTTACATGGTGCATGTGGAGGTGACGCAGGGCCTGAGAGAGCAGGTGGAGCAGTGAGAACATGAAGAGGCTGGAAATCAGGGCCAAGAAGGAAATCCAGGGGAGAGGAATCCCTGACTTCTGCCCTTGCTGAGGAGTCTGGCAAGCGGCCATAGGGGTTGAGGTAGCTAGAGGACCTAAAGGAAGCTCTGGTGCTGAAGCAATGGGGTAGGAACGAGCACAAGGAAACAAAAACTGGAGCTTGCTAGTCACAGAGAGCTGGGCTGGAACGCGGCCCAGTCTCGAGGTGGGAGCCCTCTGGGGCAGAGCGATGGGGGCAGGCCGTGAGCCACTGGCAGAAAGCAGCGCCACGCAGGGCGAGAGCTAATTCCAGTGCTTAACTGGTGTCACCTAGGGCCAAGGACCACTAAGAAAATAGCAATTAAAAAGGGACCCCTTATATCAGGGGCCCTAACACAAGTAGTAGTAAGCATCCCTACCCAACTGTGACTAAGGAACAGTATGGAGCAGTGTAGGGATTTCATCTGGGAGGCAGGAAGCCGGGGCCCAAATGTTCCGGTGGGTCAGGAGGAAAAGAAGAGGAGACAGGAGAGAACCCCAAGAAAGCAAACCCCTGTTCCATTCAGAGGGGCCGATGGCATTAGGATGGATGGTGCGGTGCTGCTGAGGCCTGGGACCTAATTGCAAGCTCTCAGGGAGAAGCTCCAGGAAGATCCCTGCGGAAAACTGCCACGGGCGGGTGGATCACTGATCATAGACAGTGACTCTTCTCCCTCCCTCGTCACGGCTCTTTTGTTTACTATCAAGCCCAGTGTAAATAATTGTTACCTGGGGGACCAATCAGTGCGCATAGTCTCTCTTTCATTGATTAAGTAAGTGAACATTCTTATGAGCTTTCTTTCTGTAAACGTTTTACTCAGAGAAAGACGGATTTGTTTGAGGCTTTGATTCTTTTTGAGGGGTGGGTTCCTGGGTGCTGTGTCCTAGAACTGCCTACTCCCAGAGCTGAACTGGTCCAGTGTGTCTATTGCCAGCCCTGGGGAGGCAGAAGGCAGTCCCATTCACGTACCTGAGCCCTCCTCCCCCTTCCGGTTCCCAATTCTTTCCTTCCCCTGCTGCTGCCCCCAAATAAAACCTCCCGTTCTTTGAACAATGGTCTCTTTATTGGTTGAGCTGCAGGGCTGGGTGGGGGATTAAAGGCAAACACAAGGCATTCAGGGGCAACTTGTGGAGAGCCACGTGGAAGAGGCTCAAAAGAGGCCTTGAACAATACTGTCTTCAAAGCCTCTCTGATTTACCCTGCCTCTCGCTGTGCTCTCCTTATGGAGCTGGTGTCTGCCTGCTCAAGTTCTCTGGTGCTCTGCCTCAGCCCTGTACTCTGACAGATAGAGAGGTCTCTCAGAGATTATGGAGCGCACAACACCCTGCCACCACAAGGGACGTGTTGCTTTCGCTGACATCAAGGCCGAGTCAGGAGACTCCTGAGCCTTCCCTTTAAACGTCCAAATGCACTTTCGACCACCATCCTGCCCTCACTCAGCCTGTTGTTGAACTCCTCCAGGCTGGTGTCTGGGCTGCCCGTGTACAGGTTCAAGAGCCGTGGAAGCCAGGGGTAGGCTTGGTCGTCGAGTATCACTATTGGCATTTCCACCTCTCCAACTCTGATTTTCCTGTCTGGATAAAAGCGCCGCTCTGCATCTTCCAGAAGAAGCAGGAGTTCCTGCACCTTTCTGAGCTATCCCACGCTAATGTCGGCGAAATGGCCTGCAGCATCAGGGAGAAGGCCCCCTTGCAGTTGATGTAGTCCGAGGCATGGTGTCAGGGTCCAAGATGGGGAGGTGCATTCCATCTGTGACCTCACGGCACTTAGGGAACCCGATCACTGCAAAGCCGTGCGCTATGGTGTCCACATTTCCCAGAGTCACAACTCTCTATAGCACAAGGGCATCAATAGCCTCGGCTACTTGTGCAGCAGCAACCCCCACTGAGAGGCCACTCATTGGTAGCTGTCTGGCGCTCCAAGCGTCCAAGGGGAAATTGCCACACGCTTCTCCACAGCCCTAGTAGCTCTCCTTCGGGGAATTCTGGTGCCTCAGGGCAGGGGCAAGCCATTTGCAAGGTTCCAGGAATGTGACCGAACGCAGACAGAAGTTCTGTAGCCGCTGCAGATTGTCCCATCTGCGCATCACATCGCACCCTGAGCTTGTTTCATGGCCCCAGGACTGGCGTTGCACTGTGTCCCGAGGATTGACTGGCGGCTGCCCTAGCATCAGAGCAAGGCCGGGATGCCATGCCCAGCTCTGTCCTAATCCTCTTCCTGGCAGAGGGACCTGTGTACGCTCTCCAAGTCCTGAACTAGTGGGCGGCCGCGCAACACACATCACCGTCACAATGGCTGCTGCAAACCAGGCTCCATGCTTGTCTTCTTATGACGTCTGCAAAGACGAGAAGGGCTCCTGAAGGTGCGAGCACACTGCTTCCCCTTTATCTCAGTCAAGAGGGGAGGGACTAGATGAGTTTATTATGGGATGCTGGCAACAGGAGCCCATAGCCATCTGCTGCACAGTTTTGGTCACAGCGGGCAGTATGAGCATAGCTCCCCATGCAAAGCTACCCATGGTGCATTGCTCTCTGAGTCGATGGTAGGCTCCCGACATGGGATGTGCTACTTTGCACTACATTTGATTTATCCCCGTGGTGAGAACACGGACTTTCGATGTTGCAAAATTAGGTGCTTAGAAATGGACCATATTCGATTCAACCTTAGCTCATAGTATAGCCGCATCCTCAGAGTCTTAATATTTCAGTTTGAAACCAAGAGTTGTTCAGATTTGGCATCAAGGAAGATGGACCACAACAGTTTTTAAAGATTAACCAGACTTTGTGAAATCTCTGGAAACAACCAGGAGTCGGTCTCAATTTGTATCAAATGTTCAAGATCAACTTTTTCTCAAGTGTCAGCTGATCATTTATCCACAGGCGAAATCTCGGAGCACAACATGAGAAGGAATCTTCATCCAGCATGTTTCATGTTCCAGCTGGCACCACGCCTCTGAGAAATATTGAACCACACAGTTGGAGAGAGCGAATCGTTTCACGATCATTTGGGCAACGTTACAGTGATTCTGTATGGGCTTAAATGCCATGCTCCATCAATCAGTACACAAGAGGAAAGGGAGATGAGATATTATTAAGTGTTCAGCAAAGTGCACTCATAGTGTCACAACTCTGGTCATATTTGTTAGCGTAGAACTTCTCATTAATGGAAAAGAACAAAGCGCTCCTATTGGCTAATTGATTGCATCCACTTTTGCTGTGTAGAATATAAAAAGGGATACGTCTGAAATTGTCGGCTCAAATGCCCAATTTACTGCTACATAAAACAATCCGTCTTGGATTGCAGATGTAAATGGTTTGGGATAATCCACTGCTTGTGTTACAGGTGAGTGTGTTATTTAGAGGTAACCCAGAGGGCCTCCACAGTGGCACTGTCCTGGGTACAAGCTGTCGCAGGCTAGGCTCAGAGGCCTAGTGTGTTATGTAAGGAACTGGC